TGACTTCCCCGGTATATTTTCTCTTTCCTAATCTCCATACCCAACGTGGGGCTCGAACTCACAACCCCCAGATCAAGAGTCACACACTCTACCAACTAAGCGAGGCAGGTGCCCCCCATTATATTTTCTAATAGCTAGTAACAGTAGATGAGACACAGAGATTTGTATGTTTTTATAACTGGCCCTTTGTTAAACACTTGTTAGTAAGTTTTCAGATTACTTTCTTTTTTCTTTTTTTTTTTTTTTAAAGATTTTATTTATTTATTTGACAGACAGAGATCACAAGTAGGCAGAGAGGCAGGCAGAGAGTGGGGGAAGCAGGCTCCCCGCCAAGCAGAGAGCCCGATGCGGGACTCGATCCCAGGACCCTGAGATCATGACCTGAGCTGAAGTCAGAGGCTCAACCCACTTAGCCATCTAGGCGCCCCTTCAGATTACTTTCTGAGTTGTTTTTTTTTTAAGATTTTATTTGAGGAGAGAGAGAGTGAGCACACACACAAGCAGGGGGAGCGGCAGAGGGAGAGGGGGAAGCAGGCCTCCGCTGAGCAGAGCCCAATGCAGGACTCGATCCCAGGAGCCCAGGATCATGACCCGAGCCGAAGGCAGACGTTTCATCGACGGAGCCCCCCAGGAGCCCCACTTTCTTAGGTTTTATAGGTAGACAATCTCACATCTTGAAACCGACGTCTCCCATACAAAACTTAATCGTTTTTCTTTTCGTATCGTATTGCCCAGGGCTTCCAGAATAACACCAAATAAAGGCAGACTTCCTGATTCCTTTCCCACGTTTGTGCTCCATGTTTCTCAGATAATTACACCGTTGGCTTTTCGTTGCAATGGCATTCGTTATGTTCATTAGTACCTTTCTCTTTCAGACTTCACGGAGAACGGTTGATAGGTGTCTTTCTTCCGACAGAAACTTGAGACAAGTTAACGTTAGGGTCTGCCCAGCTGGAGACTAACTCAGCCAGCACCAACCCACTCACCCCATGCCCAGAGCAGTGCGGAGCTGCCGGAAGGAGATCTGAACGGCTGCGTGGTCTCTACCCTTGGGAGCTTCCAGTGCAGCTGGGAGGCGACAGGGAGAGTGCTGGTCCGGGGCGGCTGAGGAAGGGCACTCGGTGGAGAAGCGAAGGGCAGTGGGGGTAGCCAGCCCAGTGTCCACAGAAGAGCAGGTTGGGGCATTGAGGTGGGAAGGAGGGGTGGGGAAGTTTCCGGAACGGATAAGCGGCACCATAGAAGGAAGGAAAGAAATTCGCTTGAAGGGTCTCCCAGCTTAGTGTGCTCTTGGTTTCTAAGAGCACAGACAGCAGGAGAGTTACAAGTAGTTTTCCAAGACCCCTTTGGCTGTTTCAGAGAAGGCAGGGGCAGGAGGCCACGGCACCAACAGGGAGCTGACAGACATGGGGCTTGGCCTTGAGACAACAGCCCAGTAGATGTATTCTGGGGTAGAACTAAGGGACCTGTAACTGCATAGGAAGGGGGCGAGGCAGGCGGAAGCAGAGGGACCGCCTAGATCTCCATCTCGAGTTCCTTGGCAGACGGGCAGAAACACCGCGAGGCCTCCCAGTGCGGAGGGCTAACGAGGAGGCACTGGGTTACCGGGCCTTCAGCCCAGCAGCAGTCTGCACCGCAGATACAAACTGGGAAACTATGGTGAGTCACCGCTATCGAGCAGAAGGCAGAGTAAATATTAAAACAGGCACTGGCCCTAAAACCCATGCCCGTCCACATTCTCAGTCTGTGGGAAAGGTACCGGAGGAGTGGCCGGCAGCACGGAAGGGCTTGGTGTCCCGAGCCGCCACCGGCACTGGCAGGGCCTGGCCTAGCGCTTCCCCACCTGGTCCAGCCAGCCTCTGTATCATCACTTCTCAAGGGCTCCGAGAAGACCCTCAAAGACTATTTTTCCTACTTGTGACTGTCCTTCGTAAGAGCTGTTTTTAAAACCCTAAGTCTGTGGGGCACCTGGGGGGCTCAGTGGGTTAAGCCTCTGCCTTCGGCTTGGGTCATGATCTCAGGGTCCTGGGATCGAGCCCCGCATCGGGCTCTCTGCTCAGCGGGAAGCCTGCTTCCTCCCTCTCTCTACCTGCTGCTCTGCCCTACTTGTGATCTCTGTCTGTCAAATAAATAAATAAAATCTTAAAAAAAAAAATGAAGATGGGAACAAGAGAGGGGCGCCTGGCCGGCCCGGCTGGTGGAGCATCTGACTCTCAATCTCAGCGTTGTGGGTTTGAGCCCCACCTTGGTCACGAAGATGGAACAAGAGGCCTAGTATCGGTGACCTCACGTTCTTTTGGAAATGAAAGAATTCAAACACAGAACATATAAATAATGTACTGTATCTACTTTTCAAAATATTTGATCCCACACTGAAAGCTTCACTTCAAAAGACAAAAGAAAAACAAATCACAAGTTAGGTAACATAAACATTTATTGAATAAATACATGCACTGTCATGTAAAATTAGTTGATGAAAAAGAACATTCTATAATAATTAAAAAACCCCCTCTGTTTCCCACTTGCAGCGGGCAGTGACCAGAGTGTGAACACACACACGCTGGTCTGCACGGTTCCGGAAGGGCTGACCTCCTGCTGAAGCGTAGCAGCGACACGAACTCTCCTCGGGCAGAACGTATTTTGCGGTGAGTACAGCTGTGATCTGAGACCTGAAAACACCACTGCCACACTTCCATATTTTAAGGCACAGGATAAGCAACCCACATATACAAACTAATAGAATTCAAAGCCATTTAATTTTCTTCTCATTGGTTTGGCTCAATATAGAAAAGTTAACGTTCCCTTTTCCTGGACGAATTGATTATTAAGAACCAGTGATGAACATTTTGAGGACTCAAGTGTTCTCCATCACCAGGATCCTGGAGTGCCGAGTCTGGCCTCAACGGTCATTCTCACCCCTCCCCACAGGACAGAAGAGCTTCTCTCAGTAAATGCTCACGTTGCCACAGGACGGAATCACACCGGGAAGCGTTTTACGTCTTTAGAATCGTCCCTTTCCTTTCTTCCTTTCCTTTCAAGCAGAACAGATCAAAGTCCGCTGCCAGAGGCCTCTGAACCTGCAGAAGGGTCTGTCTCCAGGCTCCCCGGTCCCTGGGTCACAAGGCCCGTGTCATGCTGCTAACTGGCTTTCTACCTTTCATTGTATTTATTTTGTCTCATTTGTTAAATAAAGCATTCCATAAGGTAAATACGTACCAAACAGGTGAGCACATGACCGCAAAATCCCAATGTTTAGGGTGTTGGTAAAAATTATTGGTATGAAGCATTTCAGTGAGCAGTTCTCTTTTCATAGATTATGCCAGAAGCCCTTCAACAGACTGAATTAAGAAAACAAATCTAATACCATGGGCAGGCAACCAGATTTAGTAAGTAGTTCCCTGCCTGCACCATGCTACTGAAACACCACAGCTAATTTGTGTGCACCTAGTTTGTGTGTGCATCGAAACATTAATAAACTCCCTCCTGTACATGAATATTGGACACGGCTGACAGTGAGGTTTCACTAACTAGGAAACCGGTCTAACCCCGGGCTAGGGGTTACGCAGTCTTTACGATGACGTGAAAAGTGTCGTGAACTACAGACTCCATTATGAACAAACCCATGGTTCCACGTGTCAGTTAAAACCAACGTGAAATCGCCGGAAGGCAGGAGTGTGCAGAAGACACACCAGCGCCCACCACAGGCACTTTGGTATTTTGGTCACACGAGCAGTCCGTGAGTCCACGAGCTCTCCAGGTCCGGTCACCGAGTTCCACTCCCTCGGTCTCCGAACACACGACTCTAGAATGTTCTCATGGCGAAGGAAGTCCTTTGCATCAGACGCTTCTCAGAGACGCGCTGGGCAACGACACGGCTGCAGAGCCTCGGGCATATGAACATGCTATACTAACCCAAAAAGAAAACAAATATCCCAAAGCAAAAGCTGTATAACAATATCCCAGTACTGAGGTCAGTCATGGCAGAAAGTGAGGAGACTCAGGAAATGGTTATTTACAGTCACCAGCCGCAGAGCCGGAGCCCTCGGCCCAGCAGCCAGCGGCCTCGCGCAGGGAATCCGACGGCCTACGTGGCACTGATGGCTGGAAGGATGAGCTGTCGGTTTTGAAACCGACTTACCCACCCCACACACTTCATGGGGACCACGTGAGCCTGTCTGCACAGGCTGGGAAAACATTGAAAATGTGTGTTCTATTTTAGGAAGTGTAACTGTGTACCTGTGTACTACTTCATGAATAACTTGTATCAAGCAATTAAAAATAAACTTAAGACATTTCATTTTACGTAAGAAATTTCAAATTAGTGCCCATGATTCATGGATCACGGCAGTGTTCTTCGTACTCTGCATTATCAGCTGCACTTCTCCTCACATGCGCTTCCACTAACTCTCAACAATACAGCTTTATGGAACTGGTAGTATTTTGAATACTTTCATCGTTCATGATGGGCAGAAGTATACTAATATTAAACTTTCAGCCTTTTTAATAAGAAACACCATAAAACTGGTCACTGAGAACTTTACCCTGTGAAGACAAAGTGATTATCTGTCATAAGAATTTAATACATTTTAGAAGAAAAAAAATATATTTCCTTAATCCATTTTCTTCAGAATTCAAACCAGCATGTAGAGATTATAAAAAATAGTCTATTTACATGGCATAGTGTACCTCAGTGTGTACAAAACAAGGCAACAGTAAAGCACGTACATACATCTGGTTCCCGGCAGAGAAAACTGACAAACCCCTTTACGTGACACAGTAACTAACTGCTACCCTATTACACACTATTATAACAGGTGAAACACTAGAGAAAATTAAACATATAAAATCTAACGATAATATTGGCCAAATATGCCTAAAATGTCAACATGGTTTATAAAACTATGAAGATTTATATAACTAAATACACTGAAATTATAAAACCAGTATCGGTACATGTGTGGGAGGGTGTGCTCTGAGCACACAGGGTAGGTGGGGAATCCAGGGCGGGCTTCTCGGCCAGATGGACTACGTCACCACGTGTGGTCTCGTGCCGTCTTCTGTGAGGTCGTACCTAGGGGTGCACAGGGAGAGGAGGACAGACCTGAGGTCAGCTGGGGACAGTGCTGAAGGAAACACATAGGGCTCGTCTGTGGTGGGACACTCACCACTGGGTCCAACCTCGGGCTAGTTCTTCGGACGCCAGACTGACCAACACCTGTGGGAGGAACAACACTGGTCACAGCGGGCGGAGCAGCCCCTGCACACGCGCCCCCAAATCCTCCCAGCCTCCCCAGCCTCCTCCTGCCTCAGCACGGAACCCACTCTCTGCTATCTTGAGTCTTTCCTGGTCGGTGTTCTGGGCGCTAGGACCCCTGTGAATAATACGGCGGGTCACATCCAAGAGCCCCACCCTGTTCCCAGTAGTCTGAAAGTTCTGTTAAGAAGACTCAGTGCCAACGATTCACAGAAATTCCGGCGCACGTACCACTAACAGCAGCATGGCCGGTACGGATCACCGTCACCGGGACGGCTAACTGAAAACTCCCTCTTTCCTAGCCCGACCTCTGTGTACATTTAATATTAAAGATCATATAATCTTATGCAGGAGTTACATGTGAATTTAGACAAAGACTAGAATAAATTCAGAAAAATAAAGCCACTAATCTGTTAGATGAGTAATACGCTAACTATGTGAATATGTAAAAATAACCTTCAGAACGTACTCAGGTTTTCAACAGCACGTCTTTCACAGTCTACTATTTTATAAAGAAGCATAATTACAAAGGAAGCTCACCCTTTTCCACTTATTTAAGTATGGTCTAAAAAAAATGCATTTTGGGTAAGAGTTTAATGTTCATAAAATATAGGAACTGACCAAGGCTATTTTTCAAGCTTACTTTGCCAAGAAGCCCTTTGTCTTTGGACAGGAAGCCACCGCTGTTCTTCACTGCTACATCCAATGTCCTCCTCTGCACTTCTGGTAACGAAACACTGAAATCAAAGCTGACATGGAAAAAAGAGGACCTTCCTTAAATTTCCCCAATAACTTTACTGTATTTTATAACTAAAAAATGACATTTCTGTGGATGAGACAGTTCCAAATGTTATGCTGACTTTTTATTACACAATTGAGCTCTGTTCAGTGTTTGGATCTGGCATTTCCTAAAGACTCAAAAACGAATTTTTCCCATTATTTTCCAAACATACGTGGGGACTCTTGCTCCGTAAGTATGGAAAAGGCCCTACTGCCTGTGGCTCCCTCATGTGAGGAGGGGTGCTGTGTTTATAATAGTTACAGCAACGTGGTGGGGGGTGGGGTGCACTGGGGATGTTTATAGGACACATCAGGGGGTCCAGACAAGTTCATCACCCGGGCCTAAGGACTACAGAGCACGAACTACCACCCCTGGGTGAGCAAACTAAGTGACGTGCGCATGGAAGGGAACAGATCTGCAGTGCACTTTTTAATGGCTGAAGTCCGGTGCCACGAACTAAAATGCCTCCAGGGCACCACATCTTCAAAGCTGGCTGGCGCCTGCTGTTGAGAGGCAGGGTCTCTGGTAAAGCAGAGGACAGGGAGCCTGAGGCCCTGCAGGGCCGTGGCTGGAATGCAGCTGGCCTTTCCATGGGGCAGGAGCAGCCAGAAACCCAGGCTTGCAGGTGGAGAATCCTTACATGCTGCGAGCTAAGCGAGAGCTCTGTCAAAACACGCCCGCACCAGGATTTGGCGCACCTGCCCGTTTACGACCGTGGTTAAACAGAGTTGTTGGCGTGAAGTTACGACCAGTGCCTTTAAAGATAACCGTAAACAGAAGTGACAGATACTTTGACACCATCTGACTTTATTTCCCCAAATGCTGGTGGATTTTTAGCTACAGAGCTGTAACGTGCGACACCCAGTCTGCACAGACTGAGGTTTACGTAAAGGTGGCCTGAGGACCCTAGAGGCCCCCCTCCCCAGATCCTCTCTGGAGATGAGCACATCAGACTGACAGCAGAAGCAGTAGGACATTTATTAAGACAAACCTTTAAAGAGATCTGCAAAAATGTTAAACAATAATGACATTTACTTACATACATATTTTTTATTGCTTTGGAAACTAGTTGTTTTTCAGAAAACGATTTTACGATGTTATAGGTTTACTATTGTTTTTTAAAATGAAATTTAAAATCAAGCATTGGGTCTTGTAGGTAAGTGATGAACCACTCAATTCTACTCCTGAAAGCGTAATTACACTGTATGTTCACTAACTAGAATTTAAATAAAAATGTGAAGGAAAAAATTTTTAATTCTCAGTTTTTATTTATAACTCAAAAACCAAAAGATACAACCCCACAAAATACAGTTCTTTAAGCTCCTCAATCATGAGCCTTTCTTCCACAGTGTCCACAACTTGGACTTACTAGGTATGGTGCTTCTAGATGAAGTTCAACATGTTTATTTATGCAATAAGTCTGGCAAGTCTGTGGGCGCTAATGTGGAGCTCTTCACAGACACTTTGCAACACGGTGTTGGTCTGAATGCACTAGTCATTCAAAGGTATTGATCAAGCCTTCCGTATCTGATGATTCAAGAGGCTGCCCCCCCACCCCACCCCAAGTAAGCATCATACCTCTGGTCAAACACGGGGTTCAGTGTTTTCTTTGACACGTGTGTTTTTCTCCTTCCTGATCTCCTCTTGTCTGGTAACAAATACATGCGGACATAGGGGTCAGAGCCATCTTCAGAGAAGGCAATGAGATTTCTTATGACACAAACCAGAGAACACTAGATATTAGAATCCAGGAAAATGACAGTATGCGTCATGCTCAAGTTCACTGTTCTGATTTCCCATTTACTTAAACCACTGAGAAGCACAAAGGAGCAAAGTGTGCTTCTATCTTCACCCCGTGCTCGCTCACTGGCAGAGGCAACTTCTGCCTCCATTTCTTGAGCCCAGTATTTGGGGGACATTCTGGTACCCCGCTCTACTTTAAAGTACTTTAACGTACTTACACTGTGTGTCTTCCCCCAGGGAGGGAGAAGCCTTCCTTCTGGCCGGGGGAAGCAGCCTTCGGGAGACCTCAGCGAGGCCACCCCCTCCTCGGGGCCAGCTCAGTCCTCTCTGCCTCTCTGCCCTTCGATCACCTGAACCTTTCACCTCCTCTGTGCAGCCCGTGCTGCTCTTCTCTGAGGACAACTGGTCTGAGCCAGACACAGTCTAGCACTTAATTACATGCAACCACTTCAAATTATCTGCTTACTGATCAACTTGAAAATCTAGTTAGGGGATTATTTGGTGAGACAGTAATTCTCTCACAGCAAGAGTACATAAGGTGCTCAAGAAACAGGTGCGAAACTGAACCCTACATTTACACAGTTTTTCTAAATGTCACTAATTTCAACTTCCTATGTTTCTAAAAGTCTTCTGTAAGATCCAAATATTTATGTCATACATTTATAGCGTAACTTCTACTGAGACGGGCAAGTTACCTAAAAAGGAAATAATTAGTTGGCTGCACACTGTCATCACTAATCAAATACAAATTATAGCAACAGTGGCATCTCAGGTTACACTTACTGCATTAGTGTACTGTACGATACCCTGTTCCCGATTGGGGTTGGGGGGAAAGGCACACCTGTACCCTCAGGTGCCAGTGTGAACTCGTATGCCACAGAAAAAGTCCCGAGAGACTACTGGCAATGCCATCATGATCCCATAAACTTTTCTGGATCTTTCGAATTGATATAAACTTACTTCTGGAAATTTAATCCCAAAGAGACACTTGAAGAAAAGATACTTTCGTTGCCACGTTACATGTAATACTAAATATCCAGGATGACAAATGAAGAGTCTATTACAAAGCAACCAAAATGGCTTTGAATAGAAGATACTCACCTACGGAACGTCGGGACCAAAGCAAGGACACAACACCGAATACTAGGGTTACGGTACAATCTCGTGACTTTGGTGAGGCCAGAACTCAGTGCTCTGCTCCCCGTGTAACGGCTGCCCAGGGGCCCAGCTCACCTGCAGGAGTGCACGACCACCACGAGTTTGTTCCGCTGGGAGCTGTGCCGGATGGTCAGCTGGATCTGCCCCAGAGGCGACTGGCCCAGGGTCGTCCCGCTGGGGAAGCAAAGCAGAAGGTTAACGCTCTCCTCAGAACTGAAGGCCGTGCGTCACTGGCATGGAAGGAACCACACTGCCCGTGGACGGAACCAAGTCTGAACTTTGGACTCTCAATCAACCAGCTGCACTCACAATTCAAGTGAGGGTTCCACGTAACTTAGCTTGTTCAGTTAGGACGCACGGTAAAAATGGGACTCGGAGGTTCTGTCACTGCCCAAACGACAGACGCTTGCTCAAAGCCCCACGCACATTGCGTGCTGTCCAGCAGGCTCTGTGACAAAACAGGACCCCTTGGCTTTCTCTCTCAGGGCCGAGGCACAGACTCCCAAGACCGCTGACGGCTGCTCTGGTGCAACGCACCCAAGACCGTGCCGGCTACCCCCCAGACTTGGTTCCTGAGAGAAGGTGCTTTCTTATTTAAAATTCTAGTGTTGCTTTTAAAGCAAGAGAGGAAGGGACTGGTTTCTTTTTTCCCAAACAGCAGAAGTGAGAAAGGACGAAGGAGAGAAGTGTGCTGTGGGGGTCACAGACCTGCATCCTTCCTCTCCCCCCAGGAGCACTCATTTCAGCTCTGCCTCCACTTCCGATCCCTCAACACACCCCTGAGAATGAGACAGGAAGAAAGGCTTCAAAGGGCAAGTTTATTCCTTCCACTGAGAGGAAAAGGCTAACGTCTGAAGCTTGTGATAACTGTAAGCCGTATGCCTCCTCTCAACGCAGGGGCACATCTATGAATCCAGATTCTAGACAACTAGACAACGGCCAGAGGTCAGAACGCTAAGCACACAGGACCTGTTCTTATAGCACAGACAGAGTTGCTGTGTGTAGAGCACACATCAGCCCTAGATCCTGTCTTCCTGGTCTGAGGACAGGCACACCACAGCTTCAGACCCTTTTCTATTCATGGAACCTGTTACCCCACTGCTTCCTGATCCTTAAATGAGCCAAATATTAGGTCCAAGAAAACAGGAGGTTTATTTTCAAAGTCAAGGACTCAGTGAGCCAAAGGCCAAAGCCACCTCAAGTTCTTCTAACTAACTTAAGATGATGTTCCCTCTGCAGCAGGGAAGAACAAAGGAGGTGTCTAATTACTTCTCCAGCTGCCGTAGTCTTTGCCGAAGCTCCTGGGTGGCGATGGGCAGTGATATGTCTGAGGCTATGCTTGGGGTGGGCTCCTTAACGGAGACATGGCTGGGGGAGCAGGTGGCACCGGTCTGGAGGCTGGAGGAGCTCCTGCCCAGGTCTCGCGGCCCCTGGGGGCTGGCCTCCACAGGCTGGGCTCTCTCTTCTATGCCAGGCTTACTGCTGCTCCCCATGACTGGAGTGCACGGGGCTGTGCTGCTGTCACCAGAGCCTGGTGATGCAGACTTCTGAGATCTCACGGATATCTTCCTCCCTTCTTTAGAAACAGAGGGTCGCTTTACTTGAGCTGAGTGTTGGTGGTCTGGAGACCTTTCTTGCTTTTCAAGGTGGAGTACCTAGAAGTGAAAATAAACATAAAATTAAAGTCAGTGACACTAGGGGCGCCTGGGTGGCTCAGACATTGAGTATCTGCCTTCAGCTCAGGTCATGATCTCAGGGTCCTGAGACAGAGCCCCACATCGGGCTCCCTGCTCAGCGGGAAGCCTGCTTCTCCGTCTCCTACTCCCCCTGCTTGTGTTCCCTCTCTCACTGTCTCTCTCTCTCTGTCAAATAAATAAATAAATAAATACAATCTTAAAAAAAAAAAAAAAAGTCCGTGAACTAGAACAGCCTGATACCTGAATGACTTCAGATATAGTCATTTGCAAATGTTTCCTTAGAAGGTGGCACAAAACATTCTGAACAGTCTAGTCTATATGGTCACTCACTACTGTTAGAGTAATGCCATGTGACAGCTCAGAAAAAGTGAAGTCTGACGAATCAGAGTATCACTTCTGTGACATAAACGTCACTTCTGGGTGTTTCTCTTCAGCCCCTTCCATCTGCATGCATTCCCACACAGTTGCGGGGGACGTCACTGCCGAGTGAGCACGGGCCGCGTGCCCCCAGAAGGGACGAGCGGCAAGGATACCCTGCCCGGTGGCCACTACACAGCAGCCTCGATGCGGGGCAGGCCTCACGCTCCTCAGCTCGTGTGAGGGCACGGACCCTGTGCTTTGCTGGCGTTTGTCTGTAGTGTCCGGGTGTGCAGCACGCTGCTGAGCAGAGCCTGTGCTCATAACGCTGCACCTGGGGTCACTGGGATGGCGCCACCTTTCCCTGCCTCTGTATACAAAGCTGCAGCAAACATCTTTCTGTTCAAGGTCTCTCTGCATTGTCTTACTGAAAGTCAGATTTGCAGAGAAAGGGTTCCTGGTTCAAGGGGCTCTATCATTCATGGCCGGGAGACACTGCAGGCCTTCCTGCAGAAACTATCCCCAGAGTTGGGACCGAGTGCAAAGAGACCATGTGTGCTGCATCCTCCACTAAATTTGCTTTAATTTTTTAAAAAAGTGGGTTCTTTTTAATTTGTATTTTAAAAATTAGTGAGTTTTAGCATTTTTCATCTGTTTGTCAACTTTATTAATTTTCAACATTTCCTTAGGCACTCCTAAGGGTCATTGTCTATTTTAGACAAAAACTTTTTTGTTTGTAATGTCTACCACCTTGTAGAACTTTATTAATTTTTCCCTCTTGAATGACTTTTGAAAATTTAACTTGGCCTGCTTCAAGCAATCAAAAACACCAACTTGGGCAGATGTCTGAGTCCAAGCCTCAATCCTCTCTCCCTTGGGCATCTGGAAACCGTCAGCAGCAGTCTCCGCTCCGCACACGAGTGCCCCAGGCCCTCTGCCCTTCTCTGGAGCAGGGCCCAGGAGTGTCAGCAGTGCTGCTCGTCACCCCGTGCACTCTCCCACGTGCTACAGAAGCCTACAGTACCCTGAGGGCGATCTTCATCTTCAGAGTGCTGTTGGGCCCCGAATTACTGAGCTGGAATCGCTGGTTCATGGTCATGTCGTCACTGGTGAGCAGCTGACTGAGAGGGATCTTCAGATGCCCCAGAGAACACTGATGCTGTTCATCTTTGACCTGAGGGACACATGACAGAACACAGTCAGCTGTGAAGGTAAAGACCAGAAAGCATATAAGTGTCCAAAATCCAGTCTTTAAGAAACACTTCTGCCATCTCTAGGTTCTCGTAAATGACTCACGCGACGGACGCTCTCAGAATGCCGTGATGAGTGAGTTACATTGTGTCCAAGCCCCACGGGCAGGTCCCCTCCTCATCACAGTTCTAATGAGCACAGATGGAGCACTGTGCTTCAAGAATCCATAAGAACCCTGAGTTAAGAGGCAGCAGTCTACACAAATGTGAAGATTAGGAAGAAATGTCTTAAATTCTGTGAAAACGGTGACAACACACATTCATGGTGATACGTCTATCCAGTTTCTATTGGTGATACTTGTTTACAGAGAAAAACATTTCTAAGTGCCTTTTATTTTTTAAAAAGATTTTATTTGACTGAGAAAAAGCACAAGTAGGGGGAGCAGCAGATGGAGAAGGAGAAGCAGGCTCCCCGCTGAGCAGAGAGCCCGATGGGGGAGTCGATCTCGGGAACCTGGGGTCATGACCCGAGCTGAAGGCAAACACGTGACCGACAGAGCCACCCAGGTGCCCCTTCTAAGTGCCTTTTAAACATTTCCTATTTAAAATCTACCTGGTTTTTCTGAAAATTCGTAGTATACACTTTAAGGGCAAGGCAGTTTCTGTCTCCTGAATAAGAGCCTTTAGCATTACTTCTGCAACCGGTGTTATTCCTGTTAGAGTGTTGTAATACAAAATAGCTTTGTTTTTGTTTTTTTTTTTAAAGATTTTATTTATTTATTTGACAGACAGAGATCACAAGTAGGCAGAGAGGCAGGCAGAGAGAGAGGAAGGGAAACAGGCTCCCCGCCCAGCAGAGAGCCCGATGTGGGGCTTGATCCCAGGACCCTGGGATCATGACCTGAGCTGAAGGCAGAGGCTTTAACCCGCTGAGGCACCCAGGCGCCCCAATAGCTTTGTTTTTTAAAATATATTCTTTTTTAAGTAGGCCCCATGCCCAAAGTGGGGCTTGAACTCATGATCCTGAGATCAAGGTCTTCATGCTCTACTTACTGGACCATCCAGGTGTCCCAGTAATACAAAACAGTTTAACCAAACAGAGTAAGAACTCTGGAGACTTCATGGGCTATATGAAAGTAAGTGGTCAAAGATGCTAACTAAACGTGAACATTTAAAAGCCTGATTGCTTATTTCTTTTTAAACTGTAATCATAAAAGCATTTTTTTAAAGATTTTATTTGTTTGAGAGAGAGTGGGTGTGCACACGCACAAGCAGGGGGAGGGACAGAGGCACAAGCAGGGGGAGGGACAGAGGCACAAGCAGACTCCCCGCTGAGCAGGGAGCATGCCATGGGGCTCCATCCTAGGACCCTGAGATCATGACCTGAGCTGAAGGCAAGACACTTAACCAACTGAGCCACCCAGGTGTCCCTTAAATAAATAAAATTAAAAAAAAAAAAAATTAAAGATCCTTTAAGTATAGATTATTTGAAAAATAGTACAATTTATGAAGAAAAAATTACCTAGACAAATACAAAATAAGTAATTAGCTAAACATACACATTCTGTATAAAACAGAAAGCAGAAATATAAGAGAGCAAACACAGAAAAATGGACCAGGCTGGGCATGACGGACGGTCCAGGAGCTATGATAACCCACGGCAACACATCCCCTCTCAGACCTCACGACCTCAAGGGGCTGAGGAACAAAGTCAGAGTTCTACAAGCCACACAGAAAATGGAGGCCTGAACGTTGGGAAATAGGACATGACCAGAAACAAAGAGGGAGCCAGGATTCTCTAGACTGGCATGTTTAGCACGTCAGCAATGGGAATGTGACACGAGCTGTGCGATCCACTCGGCACTTTCCGGGCGGCTAAGCTAATACGAGCGAAGGCAGAACACGCGGCCACCGAGAGGAACAGGTGTATGCTCGGGAAGCTCGGACCCTCCGAAGTGTATACTTCTATGCATCACGTATGTTCAAATACGTGGAGGACGTGTACTTCTGGCCACGACGGAGTAGCCAGACCTAAACTTAGCGTCCCATGTTAGCTTAAAAACCAGACAAAACATGCGGGATGATGGGTTCTGGGATGCACAACATGGAACACTGGACACAGCAGTGCCCTGAGAGCATGGACACCAAGTGATGTGAGCCTGACTAGACCCTGCCGAAACAGTGTCCAGGCCCTGATTACGGCACGAGGACGCCAGAGAGACGTGAGCCGTTGCCCGGAAGGAGGGAGGGTGAAGAAATCAGGGAGCAGGAGGTTCCAAGAGAGCCAGAGGCCTCTGAAGGTACCTCATCTTCAGCCAATCAGCACATGAGCGAGCAAACTACCCGAGGCCAGGAAAGATGCCCCAGGAGGAGCAGGGGACAATTCCCAGAGCACAGAGGGCTGCAGTATCCATTCCAAACAGAGATGAGAAATCTCAACACCAGGGCATCCGATTAGCGAGGCCACATGATCACAAGATTAGAAGGCTGTTGGGCCTAACAAAACTAAATCAAACCTTGAAAGGCTTAGTGTCCAAGTTACTTACTTGCAAATGAGAACAAAGCTCCAAAATATTTAAAGGAATACAAAAACTCAGCACTCAAGAATGTAAAATTCACAACGAAAAATGACCAGGCAACCAAAGCAGCAGGAATATATGAGCCATAATGAAGGAAAATAACTCACAGAAGCAGACCCAGCAATTATGCAGATGACAGAATGAGTAACAAGGCATCAAAAACTCTCACACTGAACATGAGAATGTCCAAGAAAGACATGGAAGAAAAAAAGATCCAAATGTTTTGTAAGATGGAAAATCTAAGATGGAAAATATGTCTGAGATGAAAAAAACAGGATGGGACTGACAACACAAGAGACACCCGGGGCAGGGAAAAATGTGAAGTCCTGGTCAAAAATTTTCTAAACTTTAACAGCAGCAGACTTTTCACCTAGAAACAGTGCAAGATGGTCCTTTAAGAAAATAAAACTGATAAACCACTTGCCAAACTGATCCCGGAAAAGAGAGGGAACAAGAAAATTACCAGTATCAGGAGCAAGAAAGGGAACATCTTTCTAGGATACTAAAAGGACATTAAAGGGATATTCTGAATAATGTTGTGCCAAGAAATTCAACAATTTAGATGAAATGGATGAATTCTTTGAAAGGCATAAATATAAAAAATTATCAAGAAAAAATAGATAACCTAGATAGATCTATATCTATAATGGAAATTAGTTTGTACTCAAGCTCCTTCTTACAAAACTACAGGTCAAGATGAATTCACCGGTGGAATTCTCCAAACATGTAAGGAAAAAACCCAATTCTACATAAACTCTTCTAGAAAAATGCCAGGAAAGAACACTCCCCAATACATTCTATGAGGACAGCATTATCCTGATACAAAAACTAGCATCATAAGAACACAAACTTATAGATTAGTATCCTTCAGGACTAAGATACAAAAATTCATCACAAAATTTTAGTAAGTTAAACTGAATACATAAAAAGGATACTGCATCATGACCAAGTGGAGTTTATCCCCAAATAAAGGTTTGCAAGGTTTAACATCTGAAAATCAACACTGTATTTTACACATTTACAAACATAAAAGGAAGAACCATAGGACCACCTCAACAGCTGCTGAAGAGCCTCTGAGAAAATTCAACATCCACTCATGAAAAAAACGCTGAGCAAACTAGTGAGCAGCTGGAGTAGAAGGAAACTTCTGAAAAAGTAAGAGACTTAACAGTGAAACCCCGAGGCCCTCTCCCCTCAAGATCGGGAAGGAGACAGAGATGTCTACTCATTCCAGAAGTGGGAGGGCCGTGGCAGGGTAACAAGGCAAGAAAAGGAAGTAAAAGGCACCCAGACTGTAAACACAGAAGTAGAAGTGACATCATTAACAGAAAATGTGACTGCCATATAGAAGGCAATCCTAAAATAGCCATAAACGGCTGAGAGTAACCAAGTACAGTAATATATCAATATACAAAAGTCAGTCGCATTTCTAGATACTAGAAACAAGCAACCAAAGTTGAAAATTGAAAAAACAATTATGTATCAAAAAGTGTGACGTATTAAGTCTGACAAAAATATACCGATTATGATGATGGGTCCATAAATTGTACTCTTCAAATCCGTGCAGTGATTCGTACGTTGGTTATATTTCTACAATTCTACTAAAAAATGCAAATAAAATACCTCAACTTCGAGGTCCTGGCGCTTGGGATTGTGAATGAAGAAGGTGAAGTTTTCCTCCCACACAGGTTCATTGGTTTTATACCGAATCTGAAAGAAATCACCAAATATCAGCTCTGTGATACTTTCTGTGGAAAAGGGCTACCGAGACTGTGGGCTCATTCATTTCCTGTGTTTGGAAGCTCAGGATGACTTTAATTAAATTCCAAGGCACTTATTCACTGAGCATGTGCTATTATGTATTAATTGTGAAAAGTGTTCAAAGACAGAGATTGTCCAAAGCTTTAGAGTGGGTCAGGGAAGTTAACTGTTGGGGAATCCCAACTGTGCGCCCATCCCAAAGACAAGACCTCGTCTGCTCTGTTCTACCTCTTCTTCTATATAACGCTGGTAACTCAGGAAGCTTCCGAAACTGAACATTTTATTTTATTATTTAAGACTTTATTTGCTGTGAACATTTTAAAAGTGAACAATGGCCTATAGTTTAAATAATTCCTGAAATGCTTTTCTTACATTAAGAAAGTGGAAGGCATTACAGCAACAGCACTGCCCTTGATTCTTGAATAGAATTGTGTTTGTGAATTTTAAGGACTGTTGGTTATCCTTCAAACAAAATATTTACAGAGCATTCGAAGAAAACTTAGAACTTTAGCCCATGTCATTCATCCATGAAATCAAGCAAAGTCCACTATAATTTTTTAATGTCATTTTAAAAAAATGAACAATATATTTGTTACCCAATAAAGAAGTATGGTTATCTATGAGTTGACTGATTTGAGAAAACAAGAGAAAGATATGGAAATCAATGATCTCATGCCTACATCATTAGCCAGCTGACAGTTCTCATCTAAGAGCAGCAACAGTGACATCACAGGAAACTAGTCAGAATCTTACCTTGCTCTCCTGGGCCTTGTGTCCAACTGACATCTGGACAAGAGGGTTTGGATTGCTGTTTATTTTCTTCCCTGACTATCCAAAAACAAAAAACAGACAAAATAAGCAAGCATACGTCTTGAAATGGGGCTTACTAAAAATGAGATTATTGGCTCATATTAAGAGTCATTTCTACTTATTTCTGATACTTCAGTTACAAGGAATATCTGGGAAAAATTTAATTGGAGAATAACTGCTGAGCATATCCCAAAGCAAAACTGTATCTACCATGAGATAAATTAAGAAAATTCCTGTTTGCTTATGATTTTTAAATGCTAAGGTCTTTTATTTTTAAAGCAAGTTACTTTGGAAAAATGGAATCTTCCAAAAATCTTTAACACTAATTCCAGCTCTTAAAACTTATCTTACTGGTATAAGAAGATGAGTAAGTGCAGCGAATGGAAACAGAAAAACACAAAGAAGGGCAAAGGTAGGAGTGTACAATTCAAAAAACAGTCCCCTGGCTGAAATAATAAAAATACTACAAAGTATCAGAGTCTTCACGTTTTTAACTTAGTATCTTCTGTGCAAACATGTAGCTATCAGATAACAAATCTTGCTTACCAGCTCCTAATTCTGACTGGAAGAACAAACATCAATCTAGAATTGCATTAAATTAAGCAGATATAAATATGAGAAAAATTCAGGAGTAAAAAAAAAAATGGTAAGCATACTTTAGCAGACAGGTGATAGAACATAGTAAAACACAACATATATGGGACATGAGGTTTATTTATAACTTAGCCCCACAAGAAGATGCAGTTAAATATCTGTTAGTGGGAATTAATTAGAAGGTCACAAAAGTGTTTTTTAGTTAAACAATTTCAGAGTCAATCCTCAACACCGTAGCAATGACAGAAACAGGCATCAAATTTATGATTATCGGAATTAAATATTACTAGCCCAAACATACTGTGATAATTTATTTTCTGGTTCATCTTTTTGATGAGAATAAATTCTGCAAAATGAAATAAATATTGTTAAAAAAAAAATATCCAAGGCTATAGACTACTGTGGCAGAGAATACTAACTTTTCCCCGAAATCCTTCCTTTCACTCTGGAAGCCCAGAGTTCCAGCAGAGCCCAAGTCCTCTGTATGTACGTGAAAATTCTATTTCTGAACTTCCCATGCAGTTGGGTGTGGCTGGGTAATAGTCTGGCCTTCAAGGAAGGGCGTCCTCCCTTCTCAGTGCCACGCAGTGCCACGGGCCAAGATTCCGTTACATTTCAGGGAAATAAAGTCATCTTCAGCTACAGCAGCTGCTGATACAGCAGCTGCGTTGATACAAAAGCTGCTTCTGGGCTTACTGCATCTCGGAAAAGTAGCCTTTCATTCCAGAGTTACTGTATAGCTTATCAATTCTGAGACACTTTTTTTTTTTTTTTAACGTTCTAACATCTCTTGGAAACAGAATGAAACTTACAGTTGGTAACTTTATGTACCTGTTTTTAGGCATGTCCCAATTGTAAGATAGTTGTTCTTTATTTAACTGATTTATTTTGCTTCCATTTTCCTTTTGATGTGTGTGTGATGTAATAAAAATCTGTATTTATCCTAAGCCTAAAAATCCTTCCAATAAACACAAACACTATCAAGCCCTAACTGGAACTTTTTTCTTTCTTTCTTAGTACATAAAATAATGGTCTATTTTTAAATAAACGATGTTTGAGATTTCACGAAATAAGATAAAATCACTAAGTCTTCTACCATGATGCAATATTCAAAATGCATGAGCACAAGTCAGATATACAGGTATAATGAAAATAATGAGTTTAAACTTTTTTTTAACATTTAGTTTTTTATATTCTAAGTAGGCTCCATGCCCAACGTGGGGCTTGAACTCACGACCCTGTGATTAAGTCACATGCTCTACTGACTGAGCCAGCCAGGCAGCCCCCAAATAGGAGTTTTTAAGTTAGACTATCTTGAATTAAATTTCAGCTGTTTGCAACTGATTACTGAGACCTACAAATTTCATCTATTTGAACCCTGGCTTTCATGTCTAAAAAATGGACACGATACCAAAAAAGCCTTGTTGTTAGGTTTAAATTAAATGTCATAATAATTAATCGCTACACTGAGCTCTTGTACACACATGATCTTATTAAGTCGATACTCCAAAAAAGATCCTGTCACGTCCAGTCTGTAAGTAACAGAGGACTGAACATCTCAATCTAGGTCACACTGGGGAGTGGGCCAGGCCGGGCCAGGCTGCAGTTCAAACCCAGACAGTCTGGCTTAGAGCCTTCCCTCTAGCCATGATGTCTTGCTGGTCAGGGACCCTTAGATACCACAGAAACGGTGAGGAGAGACTGCTAATCTAGTTCCTTCCAGTGTTCTGGGAGTAGTTACTTCAACTTCTGTGCTAACTAGTACTGCAAAGGAGTAATTCCCTGCTAGGCCACACTTCATCTCAGGGTAGGTTAAGGGCTAAATAAATATTATGTCAGAAAGCAGACACGGTTTGTCCTCCTCACTTGTAAAGTTGAACTTATTTTCCTACATGAAGCAGATTAAAACCATTCCTGATTCCTTTGGATAGAGTTTTCTTAAAACAATGACATTTAATCCACCCCCTCCCCCAAATATTTAAGCCTAAATGTTCAAAGAAATCAGAGGAAAAATAATAGAACACTGTAACTCATCGAAAAGTTCACAATTTAGCCAGAAAATACACATTCATGTTGTTTTAGGGAGTGGAGCTTAGTTTTCAATATACCTCATTTGATGAAATTTAAAGCTTCTCGAAAGATCTGTCACCCAAACCCAGCAGCACCAGAAGCCATGAGGTCACCGACTCAGAAACGGCCCTAACTCAGCATATTGGAAGAGGTGATTTCCAAACGGATAGTCACAGTGACAAGGGAAGAATATCTAGAAATCATAATCTCGAAACCGGATAAGTTTTTAAACAGATCTTCTATTTCACCATGTTCACAAATTCAAATCCAATTAAAATGCAGATGACTTAAAACCATCTTAGACGCGGCTGCCCAAGGCCAACGGGACAGACGGCTTAATGTATCACGTTGGTACTTCATAAATGTTATCTTCAAAGTTAACAAATTCTTCTAACTACTAATTCTTGGGTAACAAAAAAAGCTCTAACTAGACAACTAATGACGACATTAGTAGGGTGGCAATTTGTCAACAGACTCATGAGAGTGAAAAAGCATCATCTCTTTCAATATGTTTCAATTAACTTTTCAAAGGGAAGCTATTAGTTTACCTTTAAAGCTTTCTGAACTGCAGACTTCTTCAAGACATCAGGGTTAAATTCTAATGGGTTACTCTTTCAAGTCAGAAGAAAATGAATATACCAAGGGTTAATAAAACATGCAATGAGGAGTTTATGTAAGGTTAATGACACAAAAATTTATGAGAACAACAAAAAAATCTTTAAATGAAAACCACCAACAAGAATGACACAAAAAACCAGTAAAACCCATTTTTAGCACATAAAATTCTTTATGTCCAAGATTCTACCTTAGAATAAGCCTTTATAAATATCCAAACACATTTCTTCTAGGATTACTACGATCTTTTAGGATTACTGTTCTTTTTATTCTCCCAGCCCTCTTGTCTTTGGGATTTGAAAAACCCAGGAGTGACACCTTAAGTATTTGCTATCTTTTATTTGAATAAACCCCTCAAATATCAACCATAAATACACTACAGGTTTTATCTAAACTACAAAGGAATAGGCTGCACATGCCCAAATCGCTCTTAAATCAGATCATATACTAGCCTAGCAGATGCTACTTTACTTTCTTCAGGAATTTACCTTCTCTGTGCAAAACCACAGCAGGGGTGGGCCTTTTCCACTTTACTCCCACTCTCTCAGGCACCAAATGCAGAAGTGGTCACATCATTTCAAGTGTCTGTCCTGGCTTTAAAGTTCTATTATTATGGGTTTTATGTCCTACTTTTATTGATTAAAAAAAAAATCATTACTTTCTTGCCTTCAAGAGGGCAAGACTGAGTTGTTTCACAAGCTCCTTCAAGGACTAACATTTAAGAGTAAAGAATTTATCATGTTAGTTGTAATTACCTTTATATGACAAACTGCTTTTTACTATGTTTTCATTAAACAGCAGATTTCATAATGAACAAAGATGGACAACTAGCTTCCCTGCCTCCTGTGGCCACGGCAGGGTGGGCCACATGAAAAGATGAAAATGTTCGGCCAAAAGGAATTAATGTTACCTAAAGGCCAGATCATTGAGGCAGCCCATGGAGCTTTACAAACATGGGACCCACCAGATCAGCCTCTAGTAGGAACCTGGACAGGTGAGGCTGGGAACCACTGCCCTGAGGTGTGAGGCCTGACAATCCTCAGGTGTCATAAGAAGCCTTCCTGAAGCTCACTTTGGATAGATGTGATCTAGGCTAAGTGCACATATTACTCTAACATGCATCAGTGAAAACAAAATGAAGAGAGAGGCCGTGGTGAGGGTCAGGGTGCCAGACAAGCACTGTGGATGTGGGAAGCTGCACGGGCTTGAAGGAGACACAGGCCAGGTCACACGGTGCACCAGGAGGAGCCCACCGTGAGCCCTGGGTGTGTATAGCACCTTCTACCTGCAGGCTGTCCACCGTAATTGGAAGCAGTGACAGCTACCTGTACTTTTTTACGACTTTTATTTTTCAGTAGTCTCCACACCCAGTGTGGGACTTTAACTCACAGCCCTGAGACCAACACTCCAATGTGCTCCCAACTAAGCCAGCCGGGTGCCTCTGCTTTGTTTTTAAAGATTTTTAAGCGATGCCACCTGTACTTTTTAAAAGTGAGATGGCACCAGCAGCATCAAATCCAATGGTTTTCACATTATATAGTTAGCATTTTTATCTATAAAGTAGATGACAGTGTGAACACTCATCTCAGATAAACTCCATGGAAAGATTTATGAACTTATAAACTTGAAGTGATAACGAGTTCACTTTAAACTAAGATGGACTAGACAGCTGAGTTCAAATTCCAGCTCTGCTACTGACTAGCTGCGGTCTTGGGTCTCTAACCTCCGTCCCTCACAGTCTCAGTCTCCTTACCTGAAAAATGGTCCTAATGGCCTGAGACTGAAATGAGACACCCAGGTAGAGCCCTTGGAAGGTACTCAGCACATGGATGCTGTTGTGCAAGCCTCAGGTTGTAAAGCTAGCCACTGGGAGCCAGAGAACACCTTCAGTGTTCCAGTTTCAAATTCAGCCCAAAATCTGATCAAGAGAAGGAAGGTAAAGTGTTGACAGTCTGTACTGTCAAGGGGCTGTTTCCAGTATGGGAGAAAGTCCTGCAATGCTAAGGTTTGCAGATGGCCTCACTGGTGGTCATGCACACACAGGGTTGGAAATTCAGTTCTGAGTAGGTAGAAGCTAAGAGTCCATGGTGACTGGCATTTATTAGAAATACCAGTGGTCTCAGACTTTGAGGAAAACTGAAAACACATTTAACTTCATACTGAAAACCAATGGGTTTAAAAAAGAAAACAGGCAATCAAATCTGTTCACATTTATTTTATAAAACATTTTGTTGATGCCTGTATTTGAATCATTAAGCAGTACTAGTATGTGATTTTGATAACGCGGGAAGAAAGCTGGTTTTGAAAACCCAGCAATGTCTTAGCTAAATATTATAAAGCAATTAAAAAATCCTGACATGAGGTCAGAAATATTTCCTTTAAAAAGCAGTTACAGAATGAGAAAAAGTAACTCAGGAAGCTACTGTACACTAACAGGGTTTAAGCAGCAGAAGCACACTGCTGTCTACAGATAGCAGCTTACAGTACAGCCTACCACGACGAAATACTGCAAACAGAAGATCATTTTATGAAAAAGTGACAGAGAATGGTTGCTAATAGGCAACCATTTTGACCTCATTTTGACTTTTAAAATGCCTTTAACAGGAACACCATGGTTACTCATAGAGACCACGGTTACCCTTTCCTAACTATGTGACCCTCAACAGCTCACCAAACCCTTCAGGGTCTTGATTTCCCTCAGCTATAAAATGGGACAAAATACCTATTTTTCAAGTTTTGCCCCAGTCTTCTTTTTCAAATAAGAATAATCTGAAAATGTACGTGGAAATAGAAATGGAAACTCTTCAAAAATGCAAAGCACTACCATTTGATTCAAAGGCCAAAGAACTTTAAGGATCTCACTAGTTATTGAATTAAATCAGTCTAGAAAGAGTAACTTTCTAGACTAATGATTAAGCCACTGGTGACCTTCTCTGACCTCAAAGCAGGTAAAAATCACTACCCGCTAAGAGCATCAAGAACAGTACCGGGAATCAAGGTCCCAGAGCAAGACCCTGGAAACAGACATAATGAGATCAGAATCAACTTCCCAAATAAGGGTTAGAAATGCTCAATTATCCATGCCTGGAAATTCTTTTAAGTTCCTTAATAGAAGCTGAATCACAAAGTCAATCTGTTTTTTCCTCCCTTAGGAGCTCTGGTGAAAATGTGAGGCGAAGTAAGATTCCAGGGTTATAGGTGGACTGTCTTCACTGACCGTCCCTATGGGCACAGCTGGCACTGCCGGGAAAGCCATGTTCTAACACTTCTGTGTTTTGTCAGGAGGAAAAAGTAGATTTAAGGAAGTTTTTTGAAAGCTTGCAAGTAAGTATTTACATCTCACATTGAGATGAACTGCAAGAAAATCTGTTTTAATCATTATGGCTTCATCTTTTCCTCAGAAGAATTTTTGTCTTTATTTTTTACGGGCTGGTAGCAGCTTAGGAACGTAAGGCTTCTTCATGACTCACCAGGTCTGTTCATCTCATCATCAGATGTAGTCACCAAAGTTGGTTACAGCAGTGTGACTTTTACAAAACAAGCACAAAAGAAACACACACACGGTAACTGAAATCATGCAAGAAAGTTAAAAACGCATGCCACACCATGCCACCCAGTCGATGGCATTAGAAGTTCAGCCCACATTCTAGCAGTCTCCATTAAAACAGAAGAAGAAAGAACACCGGAGAACTCACAAATAGTGCTCTATAGACTGAGGTAGTATTTTCACAAAACACTAGTCCCGACGCTCGCCTCTCTTTTAAGTATCCACACCCAAAGTTTCCCTCGTAGATACTCTTGGGAAAGTGGAAACAGGAGGAGAAAGCAGAGAAGGGTGGGTTGCAGTCAATGGGCGCACAGGCAGCACGAGTACACAGGGCGCAGAGGCAGAGTCATAGCGCCCCTCAGAGCCGCGGGGGCCGGCGGGCAAACGCTCCCGTCTCCAATAAACCCCAACCAGCAGTGGTTCTGCAAAGACCCTTTGCCCCCAACAGCCAGAGCACACTTCATGCATGAAGTGCCGTCTTAATAGAGTGAGAAATTCACTTCCGCTTCTGTTTGGTTATGTGGTGTCCTCTAAATCTCAGTTTAACATGACAAAATACACAGTGCGAAAGAGGCCCGGTTCCTTCTTGCCAATGCACTAATGCTATTCTTTGATCCTAAAATATACAACAAATTCACTTCCATCAGGGATGATATACGGCTTGTTATATAACAAACATTACTGTGATTGAAAACAAAAAATTCTACTGTATGAGAAATTCTGTAGGAAGGTTAAATAACAGAACAACTTTCCCCAAGTTGAAATTGTATCAGAAAAAGTCACAGAGTTCTTACTGGAAGACTGGCCAAAAGGTTAAGGTAACACTTTAAGAAAAAATAAGAATTTATGAAGTTAAAGTCAGTCAAGAAACCTTCACTGAAATAAAGAGTAAAATTATATGTAATTAAACACAGTGTTCAACTTTATCTCCCCAGCATTAAAAAAATGATCAATTCCCTTTTGTTAAAGGCTTTAAATAAAAGATAGAGATGCACAAAGTACCTTTATTTGCTTTTGCGCTAAGTGCAAATAAAGCAGCATTATAAAACCTTGAAAGGCACTAGGCAAACTAGGGTGTGTATTTCATGGGATAAAGGAAACGGTCTCGCTGTGGTGAGGCGTGGCTAGGCACAGTCCAACTGAGACACTCAGATCAAACTATGAAGGGCAGGAACACTTGGCTTCCTTGCGGGCCTCCAACAGGCAGATGCCAACGAGGGGAGGAAACAGGGAGACTACGCGCAAATGCACCGGATGGGTGAGCATTTACTGTAATTCTCGGGGGGAAACAGCCTGTATCTCTAGTCTTTCTTCCCCCAAATGAAATAAAGAATGGCCATCTCTTGGCTAAGTGAACTGGCACTAAAAAAAAGAAAGAAAAAAAGAGATCAAAACAATGTGTGTGTCTATAAGGATCACATTCCAGTGGGTTTAAAGTACGGTGTGGAAGGTCCTATCAGGCTTCATGTGAATGGAAATAGCACGATGTGTCCTCCCCACAGTTAGAGTCGTTACCTAGAAAAGCTGTCCTTCCATTTTTTTCCAAGAGCAAGCCTGTGGAGAAGCCCGCGCTCTGGGCTGTCGGAGCCCATGTGACTGATCACCCCACGCAGGGGCACCAGGGGCTCCGCTCAGCGGCGCTGCTCTCCCAGGCTGCCCTTCTGTCCTGCCGTGCCACAGCCAGGAAGGACTCTGGGCTTGTAGGGAGAGCTGCTCCGCTTTATTCCATGCCAAACAGAGATGATTTCCATCTTAGGTAACTCTATTTTAATAATTAGTGGTTTTCTACCGGGTATCTCCTTCCCTAACTACCAGGCACATTCTTTTCTTATGTAATGGAGACTTCATAAAACACGTCAGAGTAAAAGTCATTCTGAACATCCTGGATAAACCCATAAGATGTATAAACACAAACTGTAGTCATGAAGCAAATACACACCGGTCCCTCCCTCCCCTGTGCTGCTCTCCCGGTGCGAGTGAAGTGAAAACAGAGGAACGGTAACAGGTGACAGTGTGGCTGAGTGCAGCAAGATCTGTTACCAGGAAAGGAGCACCTAAGGGAGCACCCGTGGCATTACCTACCGGAAGGTTCCTTGCTGAATCCAAATACAAGATCAGCAACGAGGAGGAAAGACCATCATTGGCTTGGTCTTTGTCAGCCCTGATGTCTGTTAGCACCTGTGAGGAAAGGACAAAATGCCTCAGCAGGTGTATTTCCACAAGAATTCAGACTATTTCTACCTGATTAGGTCTGTGATGCTCACGAAAAGAAGGAAGGTGGGGAAATAATCCATCCAACACGCGCAACACAGAGAGAATGAAGACAGTAAATGTATTTTAATGACAAGAACCGGTATGAATCAATTAAATAAAGCATAGGTGATCGGTGGCTCCCCAAAGCCCCATACTGTATCGAACACAAAATATGAAGAGCTCATAAAACAGGCGGGAATGACCTGTAAATCTTTCTTTTAAAAAAATTCCATTATCTTTAATTTACCCCTGATGTGACTGCAGTGACTTACAGCACAAGAATGAAAATTACTGCTGTCATTTTTCTAAGCTAAGTAGCTACGCAACCTGAGGACACTAATCTTGGTTAGTTACGAGGGGTGGCTGTTGTCCCGGGAAACACTTCACAGCACCTTGTCGAGGTTTGAAGCATTTGGCATTAATGTGAGCCACTCCAGTTTCAAGTGCAGTTTTCCTCTGGGGACCTCGTCCAGGGTGAACCACTGAAGAAAGAATGTGAATGTTCACAAAAGTTCTCCTGAGCCAAGCTTTCTAGTCAAGCAGTTTCCCCAAATGTCACAAGTTGCTCACTGTGAGGCACTGATAGTTCCTGATTAATGCTGAAGGACTGAGTCCTGCCATATTTTGCTTCGCCCTTCGAATGAGCCCCAGAGGATGACAGGAGCAGGGGCTGGAACTCGCCCAGCACCTACTGCTGGCCGGGGGCTGGCTGAGTGCTTCCCTCATGTGGACCCCACCATGGTGGAGTCAATACCATCCTCACCCCTACCTTACACACAAGGATTCAAATGTCTTCCAGAACTGTCCAGTACTGCCAGGGTTCTATGTGTGGACTTTAACAGAACTTATGGGCCAGGAGATGATTTAACATTGATCTTAAATACTGGATTTCATTATCAAAAACGTTAACATGCTTGCCTTTATTCACCACTACGTACTACTTAAAAAAATAGCATACAGGTGTTTCAGCTTGAAAACCACAAAGCGATTCATCAAAGATAATCCCCAAACAGTGTTAAGAGACTGCCCTGAGGAGTGTGTGAGAAGGAAAATGTGTTACTTTGAAGGCAGGGGATCTCAACGATTCCTTGGTTACTTCTGCCCTACTTATCCCAATTACACCCATCTTTTAGAAGCCATCTCAAAATCTTTTCTTAATACTTTCTATTCCGATAGCAATATCCTGCTCGAAGTGGTGTCAGCTTGCTGTCAATTCTCACTGCACACATAGGCAGCTTTCACGTGACAATTTCTCAACGACCGCATTGTGCCGGCTCTGGTATTAACTTTGTCTATCTTTAAAAAGTCCACTTTTCGGGAGCTTCTCACAGGCCTGTGCCTGGACTCCTGAAGGAGAGCACATGCCTGCCTGAAATAGTGGGTTTGTGCTCATACTCTTGGGAATTTCTACCATGCGGTGGGCACATAATACATACTATCTGATCGGGCTGTTAAACTTATTTCTTTTCACTTGCTATTACTAAAAGGCCTAAGTTTTCGGAACATCATGTGGGGGGACCAGTAGGTGTGTCAGTGCTCATGAAATAGAATAATACTCAAAGAAAACTTACTTCATCTAAAAGGCGCTCCTTTTCAACTTCAATGAGATCAATCATAAGACTATAGAAATAACAACACAACAACTTTAGAACACAGAAACACACTTCTTACAACTGAAATAACCTTAAACATTAGTCTACAAAAAAGTACTCCGGAAATGTATCAAAATGCTACAGTTTATCAAGAAACAGACTTCTTCCAGAACATTCCTCAGGCTTATCCTGAAACTATGAAAGGAAGTAAGGAAACAAGCAGGAGTGAGTCTCTGGGAGGTCAGGAGCTCTGTGTTTGGCAAAGCCAGGATCAAAGTTGTAAAAAATGTGGTTTTCCCCACAGTGCAGCTATTTATAACGTGCTGAGAATATCTGAAAATATTCAGCCCTCTTGTCTGACATGCTCTCCCTCAGCGATGCTGTCCCGTCACCACAGCTCAGTCATTCTTATGCCCTTCCCGTCCTCACTCCACAGCTCTGGACCATCCCCACAGACATTTCTGGTTTGGCTATCTGACAGCCCCTTCCATTTCCCCCTAAAAATCCTGCCCTACTGCAAAGCATGGAATTCCCTCCCGCAGAAGCCAGAGATGATGAGAATGGAATGCCGCACTCCCATTTTCTCTCGCCGCTTCCCCTGCACCAGGTGAGGCCCTCACAGCTCTTTCCTGGTCTATCACCACAGTCCCCAGTCTCAGCCCCTGCCACTCTGAGCCACACAGTGGTTTTACTGGAACGCAAATCGGATCCATCACTGCCCTGCTTACAATTCTTCAGTCGCTCCTTGTTCATACACCATCTCATGATGGATTCTGAAGTCACAGCATTAATACACAAGTTGTTCTTGATGAGGCCAAATCTGTCCAACATCATCTATCCCTGTATCTTTTTTGCCACAATAAATTCAGTTAAATAATAAAGATTAGGGCTAGATGTATTTTTTAAAAGCTCATGTTTTTCGGCTGTAGTGGTTGTTCAATTTAAGTGAACAAGTCAATATTTGCTTTTCCAATGTGTAGGCACACTGTAAATTACTATCCTCCCCTGCTCCCTAAATAACGCAACAAACAAAAAAAGCTTAAAAACTCCTTTTTCCAATCTAGAGCAAAGCCTGCCTGGTGTGAAAGCAGCCAGTGGCACCGGCATCTGGGGCCACACTCCACATGGAGCTTACAAGCACTTAAATGGGGGCAGGTACAACTATCAAAGTGAATTTAAAACTGTTTAGTTTTAATCAATTAATTTAAATAGCTACATGTGGCCAGTGGCTGCTGGGACAGACACAGATCTAGAAGTTTTCCTTCTTGTACTTAAATGTGAAACTTTACAGGAATAAAACATACTTTTAACAAGTCTAAGGTGAAAGAAACGTTGTATCTAAGAGCCACTTAAAAATACACGTAACACATACACAGCCCATTTCTTGAAGCTACATTAGTTCTAAGTGTCACTACTCCAAAGAAAGAGCACCCAGTGCTGTCCTTCCCCAGAGGTTTACCTTCCTAGGAAGTCATCCTTGTCTGGGTCTTCATCGAAGAGCTCAATCTCTAGTTCCTGTCCAGGATGCTCATAGACTAGAGCCTGAAAAAACAACGAGTGGTTATCTCACGCGGCTAACGAACGCGGCTGGAGTGAACAGCTCCCTGCTCTCCTGTGGCAAGGAGCCGGAACGCACGTACATCGTGTCACTGTCAAACCACACACGCTTCGCCACGGCAGACCATTCTGAAACGTCTGCCCACACGGTAACAGTCTACTGTGTTTCCAGTTATCTGAGATTAGACTCGCTGGGTCAAGTCCCACTGCTCCAGCACCCACAAACTAGGACAGGCTTGGGACACCTTTCCAGTCCTGAAGGGGCTCCAAGTGCTACCGGTGGGATACAGACAAGTGACCCATTCGCCAGCACCGAGAGAGAAGCCAGCGGGCAACGGGCTGGAATGGGAGAGTGGGATGCCAGTGCCGCTTAACTGCACGACTGTTCTGAAGAACAGTTCCGCAAAAACCTATCATTCCTTCCAGCATAATTTATGATGCAGCAATTCCACTCTGAGGAGCTCATCTGGAGAAAACCTGGATCAAGTGAAGAAAGACACGTTCACATCACGGTTAACAGCAGCGGTTCTAACGCTGAAACGAACAGCCAGTGTCTCTCTGGGTGAAGAAATGACGGCATCTCTTCAGTGAACAGCAAGTACAAATCAGGTCCATGTGGACGGACACAGAGCTGTCTAGATGCATTAAATGAGAATTTATAAAACAGCACATAATTAATCTCATGTCTCTAAGTACTCACATATGTTAACCACAGAAGTCACTTTGTCAATTATTTACTGTGATAGATTCATGTAATTAAAGTTTAACATTTATGTGTTCTTTATGTGTTGGCATGACAGGAAGTTGTGAGGTACGGACAGAAGGTACAATACTTTTTTTTTTTTTTTTTTTTAAATATTTCTTTCTTTTTTTTTTTTTTTTTAAAAGATTTTATTTATTTAATTATTTGACAGACAGAGATTACAAGTAGGCAGAGAGGCAGGCAGAGAGAGAGGAGGAAGCAGGCCCCTGCCGAGCAGAGAGCCCGATGCGGGGCTCGATCCCAGGACCCTGGGATCATGACCTGAGCCGAAGGCAGCGGCTTTAACCCACTGAGCCACCCAGGTGCCCCAGAAGGTACAATACTTTTAAAGATGGGAAATTAAAGAAAAATGACTCACATGGCCCTCTAAGCCAACCAGCACCTGTGTAGCGGGAATGGGACAGAATCTGGGGAGAAGCCAACTGACACCACCGGACACAGCTTACCTCGTACACCTCGTTCCACTTCGGACTCAGGCTCTCTTTGATGACCTTGCTTTGGAAGATCTGGTTGCCGACCCGAATAACTCCATAGGGGTCTGATTTTCCCTTGACGAGTCCCTTAAGGTAAGTATCTTTCCCCTGAAGATCCTGAGCTTCAATAAAATGTATCCTTAGAACACCCTAGAAAGGAGGAGCACACGCAGACTGTTCCCTGGTTCCTCTGACACACGTGGAACCACGGCGGTGTGCTCACTGTCCTAAGAACAGGGTGGACACGCAACAACCTCAAGAGGGAGGGGAGACCCTCTTCTTGTGCAGCAAGAAAGGAAGTAAACATGGACTGTGGGCAGCAGTGCAGAGGGAAAACCAAAGCAGGGCAGGACGACAGTGTCCAAGCACCACACTCTTCCTCAGGAGACCACACCAGGGAGGAGAGTGAGGGGTGAGGCCCAGAGTGACAGTGTGCTCCAGTTCCGTATGACAGTACCTGAGACCACCATTACAGAATGGTTCAGACGTGTCACTAACAAGCCCTTGACAGGCACTCATTACTCCACTTTCTAGAATAATCCTATGAAATACAGGTGACCTTGGAACAAAACGGGTTTGAACTGCATGGATCCACTTACATAGAGATTTTTTTCGATACAGAACACTACTGTAAATGTATTTTCTCTTCCTTATAATTTTCTCAGTAACATTTTTTCCTCTCTAACTTACAGAATACAAACTATAGTATATAACATATAAAATATATGTTACTGGTTTATGTCACTGGTGTGGCATCTGGTCAACAGTAGGCTGTCAGTACTGAAGTTCTGGGGGAATCGAAAGTTAATACGCAGATGTTCTATTGTACAGGGGCCGGCGGCCCAATGCATGTGGTCAACTGCAGTGTCATTAAATTTACTTTATGGACAGGAAACCGAAACTTCGTAATACGTTCTACTCAGAGACTTTAAACAGTTTCCTTCTCCTAAAATGTTGTTTAACTGATAAAATAAAAGAAGTTCACTCACACTTCTTTCAAGGAGAACAATGGCGGTCAAGTTAGCACTGGGCAGCATTCTCTACAAATCCTTTAAAAATCACTGGGCAATAGTCTTGACCCAACTGGCTAGGAAGATACGCATTTTTACAGATAAAAACACTTTTAAAAACTGAGAGCATTTCCTGTTTACAGGAAATGTGTCTGAAGTTTAGATAATCTGGCAACATCTAAGCAGCGCGGGCTTTTAAAGCACACAAGGTTAAGCAGGTTGGATCTGGGCAGGCTCAGGTGCTCCCCACGCTCAGAGAGTAGGAAGCGTACATGGCAAAGGTGCACAAGGTTTTCCACATGGAAGAGAATTCTTGTGTTTTCAGAGATGAAAATCGTTAAGTTCAGGAAGAAAGTCATGCCTTTCTCATATGCACTGTCCCACTAAATCTGAAAGCCGACAATACAACTAGTTCAGGCACCAATAATCTGGGGTGTTGGAACTTCTAAAAAAACTTAAGAAAGCTCAGGCATCTTTGATTTGCGCACCGAGATCGAGCTCAACCACAGACAAGTAACAAGCACCAGGGAAAGTGGTCTACCTCCACTGCACCAAACCACCACCACCACGCCCAGTGAAACGGGACCAACTCAACATCTTCGGTTTGGTGAAAGCAGCTGTCCTGTGCATGTCAGCGTCCCACTCATTTGCAGATGCCACACCACAGGGGTGGCTGCTCCACCTCCAGGGAGCACAGGCTCAGTGGGAAGCAGGACCTGGTGGGAAAAGCTGTGAAAACGAGTACAAGCCAGCCCCCTCTGGAATGGAGTGGGGAGGCCGGCAGGGGCCGCGCTCGGGCTCCACCCCTCCACTGTCCCCTGCAGGCCTGGCAGGAAGAGAGGCATCTCCCGGTGGATGCTGCTTTACTCTCCCGGCGGGAGGAGGGATGGTTCCCTCCTGGCCTGGCAACAGCTCAGCCAACGAGAAGCCACTCCACTTCCCAGCTCCCAGTTCACACCAGCAGACTTTTAGCTCACAGCAGCCCCTCCTCCCAACACCCCCCTCCTCTGTGGAGGGGCCTCCTCTCCTTTGCTCCGCAGAATCCCCTACGGTTCTGCCACAGCTTAACTGTCCCAGAATGCAATTCTCTCCGTTCCCGAAGAAACCCATTTCTGCTGGTAACGTAACTGGCAGTTTTATGCTTTTATTTTACTGGGGAGGGAGTGAAGGAGTGGGGGGAAGAGAGACAGAGAGAGGGAGGTAGGTGGGGCAGAGGGGGAGAATCTTAAGCAGGCTGCTCACCCAGTAAGGAGCCTGTAAGTGGGCTTCAACCCCAGGAGCCGGAGGATCATGACCCAAGGTGAAATCGAGAGTCGGACGCCGCTTCATGTACTGAGCCACCCAGGGACCCCTGGGGGTTTTAAGGTTAATAGCTCTCCCTAACCGTGAAGGCCCATCCAGTCCAAGCACCTCTTCTCTGACCAGTGGAGGCAGTTCTACATCCTTGACCAGCAGATTCTCAGTCTTTGGTTGACGATATATGGTTTACTCAAGTGAAGGGGACTCCAGTATCTGTGACCTAACTCTGTGTGCTAGGCATCACCCCCAATTTACAGACGAAGAAACTGAGGTCCACTAATGCCAAGTAATAGCCCCAAAGCAAAGCTGTTGTTAGACCCCAGGGCTGTGACAGAGGTCCAGGCGCTACCCTTTCCATCCTGTCCGCGGCAGGTTCAACACCAGTACTGCTTCTGCCGTGGAGCTTACAATGTGACTCGAGAGGTAACCACACTCACTGCTGAGAGGAAACCTGTGCCAGTTGGGACACAAAGTGCCCGCCACTTAGACTAAGCTGTTACATTCGGAGCGTGCAAGCAGCACATGCCTCCTGAGAGAACTCCACTGTCACAGCGGTCCGTTAGGACTGGCAGTCCGATCTGCTGTAAGCACCTTGGACGTTCATGGGTGAGCTTTAAGAACGGCCCTGAAGCCTCTGTGACGCACACTGGCCAACGTCCTAAGAAGTGTACAGGACAAACGACCACATCGTGATCCATGTGGCGAGGTCACCGTTAAGAGAACCATGAGAAGTCACAACATCCAAGGACGTGAGACACGTCTCCGCATCTGAGTGCTGACGCGCTCAGGCGCACTTACCTTTGGTATAGGAAACCGCAACTGAGCTATCTGGACTTCACTGACGAGAGGAACGGTGATCCGATTGGGAAGCACCAGGTAGTTTGATATTATGTCCAGGATGATTGTATCCGACAGACCACTATCAGGTGGGCAGGAAAAAGAACAAACCAACAGGCCTATCAACGCTCGTTACCGCTTTAACAGCAAACTTACCACCAACACGACACAGCGCCCCACTTACAGGGTCGGAAGTGTCTGTCTTCTCGCAGACAGTATTTGGAACAGCAGTTCAATGCCTGCGCTACAACACGGCCGTGCTGACTGTTATGCGGGATACACAGAGAGCGCTGCGGCAGGTAGCTGCAGACACAGGGTAATACTCCGGCTACATCTCATAACATTCTAAATAACGTTTCATACGCTCCTGTGTGACTTCACCACTGACTTAGTATCAACCCAGACACGTTACTTGTTCTTCTTTTAGCATATTTCAAGCAGTCACAAAAGTGCAAAGAATACTATACAAACACCCACCACCCACTCCGTGTTTCTTACATTAAATTTCTCTCATTATTTTTGCACAGCTTCCAGTCGAGTAGAAGACTTTAGTTCATTCTCTCTTCACATTGTATTTATGTACTCGATACTGTAATAATTCTGAAATTCTATATAGTACTCACCGAGAACTCAGTAATATGAATAAAATTGTGGAGGATAAAGATACAAATGTACTTTTAATACATTTTTGCCTGTTCTGTGAGGTAAATGTGAGAACTAAGTAACATGTATGGGACAACGTTTTTGAAGGCATAAATGAAATTTCGCTGCTGTGGAAGAAGTTTTAACGGGAACTGGGAAGTTTTAAGAGAATCTTACTTCTTACTTATTTCTCAGATGTTAAAATTGTTAACAGATATACGTAAAGTAATTGTATGTATAAAAATACCCACCAGGACAGTGACAAGTCACCATCACTCAGTGCAGCTGAGCATTCACTCCAAGCTGGGTACCCAAATGCGACGACAAGGGAAGGGGTCTTACCTTAGGACTTCCCAGTCCAAGATGAAAAGAAGACCCCAAAACCCACAACCCCACAGATAAGACAGCCCTATTTATGAGTATGCCAGTGACTTGGACACTAACACTCTAGAGACAGAGAGGGTTCCAGCTGCCAGACACCGAAGATAACGCTCCTGAAGAGCGACGCGAGCTGGTGCTTCCGTTTAAGAGCAAACATATTCTCACTCTGCCACTCCCCTTCACCCACAAATACTGGTTTTGTTTATACTAAAAAATCTGCGGGAACAGAAAGCACTTTGGTGACGATATGCTTTCAAGAAGTCCTTACCTGCTGTGTAGGCCGACCACCTCACCACCCACCCAGCCAAGCAGACGGACAGGCCCGACACCCAAGAAAGCAGCAGAAGGCCCACCTTGGTGCCTCATCGCTGCTCACCTTTCGAACCTACTGTGTACACGCCCAGCCTCCCCCTGAGTTACCAGAGCTGCAGTGCTGCCCCTAATCGTTCTCTGGGGCAACCCTGGTTGCTGTCATGGTCTAAATGGCTCTTGGGTCTAGTCCTTTTTGTCCTTCGGCACTGCCTGCTTATCACCTTACTTGTGTTTCAACCATAATTCCCGACCCTTCTTGTACTTTCGCCACTCAGTTTAGGGTTCTTCACTGAAACACATAGGGACAGCCAAAACTGAGGGTCAAGTGCAGTAATCTGGGTATTACTGTTACTTTGTAATACTTTCCGATTCGTTTATTACCAGTGAGTACAGCCCGTACATGTTCACTTTGTAATGCCTGAGGCAAGACTTGCTAGGTTCACAGTTACCGAATACTCACTTTTATAACGTAAGACCTGCCGTAGCTGTGATCTGGTAGGAAGTCTTTGAGTGGGAAAGCACAGCTCAAGTTTTATGTTATATAGTTTATTACATGAAACTCACATACATATAAAGTGGTATATAAGTTCTACATAATTCTGTATAAATTATATATATCCTATACAAATATATAATTTTATGTAAAAGGGATGTTTTTGTAGATGCCTTTTACACCACAGCTTTGTTTACAACTGGTGCGTATTTCTAATATACATGACTACGTATTTTTAATGATACATAGAATTCTCTACTAAATATATCTTATATACTATATGTACAGAAATCTATATATAAAATGCTTAAAGCTATTACTATATAAAAGAACCTGTCATCATCATTAAACATTAGATAAAATTGAGTATTTACGTATCTCCACATATACAGACATATGTATGTAAGTACATATGTTCCCCTTTTACTTTCTTTTGTATTTTTATTTTTTAATAGGCTCTATGCCCAACATGGGGCTTGAACCAAAAACCCTAGATCAAGAGTTGCATGCTCTACTGGCTGAGCCACCCAGGTGCCCCCCTTATGTCTCTTTTGAATGAATGATCGGCAACCAACTCCCCCAGCAGGAGGCTTGCCAAAGGCAGCAGACGCCCTCGGGCTCACCCTGTGAGGAACTAGTGCAATGCTATTTACAGGGTAGCTGCCTGACAAGCCTGTGTTTATTTTAGTCCTCCCATTATATAAAAGGAGGAAAGTAGAACACATTTTTTAAAAAAAGATTCATTTATTTTAGAGATTGTGGTGGGGAGAGGGGGAGAGAGTCCTCCAGCAGGCTCCCCACTGAGCACGGAGCCTGATGCAGGGCTCAATCCCAGGACCCTAAGATCATGCCCCAAGCTGAAGCCAAGAGTCGGCCGCCTGACTGAGCCGCCCAGCTGGCCCACACACATTCTCCACCCCACACGGCAACAGGAATCTGCTGTTCTGCTGGCTAACCAGCGTCTGCTCCCACAGACCGACGTACTGGTGGAAGTCCTTTCTTCGGTTCTCTCACATCCCTGCCCTGGTCCCCCCGGTTCCTCCTCTAGGGGTGGGCAGGAGACCCAAGCGTGATCATGAGATCACAGGCCTGGTCCAAGGATGGGTGGACAAACAGAAGTCAGCCCTGCAGCTCTGGCTGGAACTAGCAGAAGAAGGTTCTTTCAAAAAACAAGAAGAAGAAGAAGAAGAAGAAGGAGGAGGAGGAGGAGGGGGAGGAGAAGGAGGTTCTTTTCAGACTGAAGTTGCTACGCACGAAGACTGGAAGCTGCTATGTCACGGCAAGGGCAGGCCTGACAACAAACCCACACAGGGAAAAGCGGGGTCAAGAGTGAGAGTGCGAGCCCTCAGGCCATCAACTGAACACCAACACCTGCCTGTGCCTGACTGCACCCCGACAGTGCTCCGGACGGCTCTGGGAACGAGCCACAGGAATGGGAGCTCTATTCACATCCACGCCATGGCACTAAGAACAGTGGTGGACTGGCTCATAGCAGGCACAATACCTATTTGTTGGATAAATGAATAAATTTTATTTATTTATTTGACAGAGATCACAAGTAGGCAGAGAGAGAGAGAGAGAGAGAGAGAGAGAGAAGCAGGCTCCCTGCTAAGCAGAGAGCCCAATGGGGGACTCGATCCCAGGACCCTGAGACCACGACCTGAGCCGAAGGCAGAGGCTTAACCCACTGAGCCACCCAGGTGCCCCTCATTTACTTTTTTTTTTTTTTTTTTAAAAATATTTTATTTATTTATTTGAGAGAGAGAGAGAGACAGTGAGAGAGAGCATGAGCGAGGAGAAGGTCAGAGGGAGAAGCAGACTCCCCGTGGAGCTGGGAGCCTGATGCGGGACTCGATCCCGGGACTCCAGGATCATGACCTGAGCTGAAGGCAGTCGCTTAACCAACTGAGCCACCCAGGCGCCCCCTCATTTACTTTTTTAAAGTTTATTTATCTAAGCAATCTCCCCACTCATTGCGGGTCTTGAATCCAAGACCAAGAGTCGCACACTCCTCCCACTGAGACAGCCACACCCCCATTTGTGTATTCACTTTTCTACTTTAGGCCACTCACACTGGGCTGCTGCTTGCCACCAAGTGTCCTAATGAACACTTAACAATTCTGTAAGCTGTCCTTTCCGTGTAAAGACCTTTTAAAGATAACAGAACTTTCAGTATCATTAAACCACAGTACCCAAAAAAGATTTGGTTAGGACTATGCCTCACTTTATTAAAGTCCTTAATTTTCCCTGATAAACAACATAAAGTTCTTTCTAATGGCCATTGTAGGGGCATAAACACACACACAGGAATAGAAAAAAACAGACCAATTTAATTTCTGAGCTATTTTAGAAAAAAAAAAAAAAAATCCAGATTAGGAAAGTTATCTACTAGGAACACGTGTAACTGTATTTCAACCTTCAACTACAAGTGTACGTAGCAAAGGCAGGTTCCAGAATAGCCTGCTGGACAGCAGCTAAGAGGTCCGTCGCCAACAGTCACCTCCCATCAGTGGAGACAGATGGCTGTGACCTGGGGAAGACTCTGCTTTTCCTTATAGGAGGGATGTGCCGCTCACGGTGTCAAAAGCTCACTACAGGCCAGTCTCCTCAGGATTTAGATGCGAGAGTGCGAAGGGACCCCCAGTGACGTGAGGCAGAAACCCCAGGTTTCTCAGCTCTCGCACCCAGACCCTGGGGTGACCCTACACATTCCTAAGTCCAATACCTACATCAGCCCCTCTGTGGAGCATGGGAGATATGGGAGTCAGTAGCACAACCTGAAAAGAACCCAAAGGGCTAGTTCTTTTTTTTTTTTTTTTTAATTTTTTTAACACAGTTATTTTCTTTTTCTAAAGATTTATTTATTTGACAGAGACAGAGAGAGAGAGAGATCACAAGTAGGGAGGGAGGCAGGCAGAGAGAGAGGGGGAAGCAGGCTCCCCACTGAGCAGAGAGCCTATGTGGGGCTCCATACCAGAACCCTGGGATCATGACCTGAGCCAAAGGCAGAGGCTTAACCCACTGAGCCACCCAGGTGCCCCCAAAGGGCTAGTTCTGAAATATATATTCATTTTTAAAGTTTTATTTTTCTGAGAAAATAAGAAAAACCAAACTTAAAAATTAACTTGCAGAATATTAAAAGGCTGCTACTTTTCTAAAACACCAAAGCTTGAGGCAACTGACTGGCTCAGTCGGTAGAGCACATGACTCTTGATTTCAGGGTCATGAGTTCAAGCACCACATTGGGCATGGAGCCTACTTAAAAAAAAGCCTATTTAAGAAAAAAAAAATTAAAAAGTTAGAAAGAAAACACCAAAGCTGGAAAAATGCTTCATGATGAATGAAAAGTAAAATGAAGGGTAAGTGACCCGCCTAATACCCTCACCCACTCTACTTCTGCTCATGTGGTCCCAGGATCTCAGATGCAGTTAAGAAAATGGAGCCCAGCCAGTCTCCCCACCTGAGCCACACGTGAGAGCCTGCTGAGGCAGGGATTCTACCTGGTAGACAGTGGCCTTACCCATTCTGAGTTGTTTTCATGACACTAGAAATGCACATTACACCATCAACAAGCTAACCATAGGACATGACAACATACTTACTTTAATCCAGGGATATCGAGAAGATTAGTCAGTCCTGTCCAGTTAATTTCTATAAGCTGTTTTAAAAAAAGGGCAAAAATATTAAGTTTCCAAATTATTTCCAATTATTAAATCAAATCATACAGGTTTCTTTATAAGCAAAATGCATTAGTTCATAATATTGTCTTGCTTTTCACTGGAAAATATCAAAGTCATTGTCCTTTGTTCATAAATGGAGAACTCTTTTTCTGTGTTGTTTTTGATAGTATCCATTTCCTCTGGTAAAATAAAATAATTTATATACCTTTCCTATTGATGGACACTTAAGATTAACTGAATGCAAACCAGCATTCAAAAGTGAAAGTTTTGGTCAAAAGATTTTTTTTTTTTCTTTTAAATTTCTCACAGATTCTTACTTTGGGGGTGCCTGGGTGGCTCAGTCAGGTGAGTATCTTACTTTGGCTCAGGTCATGATCTCAGAGTCCTGGGATCGAACCCTGTGTTGGTTAGTGGGGGTGTCCCTGCTCAGTGGGTGGTCTGCTTATCCCTCTCCCTCTGCCCCAGGTGCCCCTGCTTGTGCTTTTTATTTTGAAGTTTTTTTTTTTTTTTAAATTTATTCATTTGATTCAGAGAGATACAGAGAGACAGCATGAGCAGGGGGAGAGGCAGAGGGAGAAGCAGACTCCCCGCTGAGCCGGGAGTCCGACATGGGGCTCGATCCCAAGACCCTGGGATCATGACCCCAGCCAAAGGCAGACACCTAACCGTTTGAGATACCCAGGTGCTCCTCTCTCTCTCAAATAAAAAAAAAATCTTTAAAAGTAAAAAAAGTTTTTTATTATATTTTTTAAAGAGTTTATCTATTTGAGAGAGTGCATGCCTCTGTGTATGAGGGGGTAGAGGGAGAGAATGAATCTGAAGCAGACTCTGGGCTGAGCCTAGAGCCCAATGTGGGGCTCAATCCGATCCCACGACCCTGATATCATGACCTGAGCCGAAATCAAGAGTAAGATGTTAAACTGACTGAGCCACCCAGGTGTCCCTAAAGATTTTTATTTTTTTAAAGTAAGCTCTACACCTGACATGGGGCTCGAACCCACAGCTATGAGATCAAGAGTCGCATGCCCCACTGAATGAGCCAGCCAGGCACCCCTTATATGTTTATTTTTTATGTTCACAGATGCTACCCAATTGCCCCCCAAAATAATCTCCTGCACTGATTTATATATATTCCCACCCTAAATATATTAAATGTCCTTTCTTTATACTTCCCCCCACCAAAACACAGAGTAAAAATCAGTCTGGTAGGTTAAAAATGGGACTTTATCCCTGTCTCAATTTACATTTTCCTGGCATCAGTGGAACATTTTCTATCTACTCAGTCAACATCTACATTTTATTTGCTCAATTTTCTAGTGGGTATTTGGGTATTTACTTAGACTAATTCCTACATAGTTGGCTAATATAAGATTCCATTTAGTGGATGCAGGCAGGTTAAAAAAAAAAAGCTTGATTGGAAAAACTGCTTTCTTATCAAAGTGCATATTATACATAATAAAATTATCTGTGCTTTATATTTGTAGAAGAAATGCTGCGTGACACTGCATGATCTCAATCACCCACACAGTCGCAGGAATGAAACTGCTCAAATCCCCTGGGAAGTGTATAGTTATGAATAAACACAAACTGGAAAGTTAAGATTCTTTTGGATAGGCCAAAACTAAAAAAAAAAATTTTTTTTAAGGAAGTCCTAAAAGACTAAGATTTTTCAGAAAAAGAGAAAGGAAGTATAAATTTATTGCAAATATCAGTACAAACTCCTATTGGTGCCCCTGTACCCCGCCCCCCCGCCAATAGGTGTAGAAGCAACGGCAATCTGGGGCAACCAGTGCCGGCCAGCGCGCCGACCATGATCTCTGAACACATCTTCCAAGGGACTGTGAAGAAACAGATAGTCCAGGACTGGGGCAAAAACTGTTACGATAGCCTGGGGGATCTTACTGAATCAGAAAGCTCGGGAAACACTCAGAGATGAATGAGAGGTCCTATCAAGGTGGGCCCCCTGGAAAGGACTTGAACTAGGGATGATCAGCTTATTCTCAGGACCCCGGTCAAAGTGAGGAGACACAGTTAAAGACTACCCAAGTTCAGAGAAACCAAACACCAGGGAGGCAGGAACAGGGTTCAGCTGGGTTTGAGAAGAGATGTGAATGCAAAAAAGAAGCTCCCAGGGAAGGGACTTGTTGGAAGCCCTGAAGGAGCTGGCCTGTCCCTGAGCAAGGGGAGGCGGGGACAGAGAGAGTCCAGAGCCATGGAGGGGTGAGAACAGGGACAGAGACCTATGTGTGAGCCAGTGTGTGTGAGAGTATGTGTGAGGGCAAGTGTGAGAAAGTGAGCACGTGTGAGAATGAACCAGAGAACGATGTGTAAGAGGAGGATGTGTGAGAATGAACGTGGGAAAATGAGCGTGGAGTGTCAACACACGTTGAGAATGAGTGTACCTGAGAACGACTGTGAGTGTGACAGCACACGTGAGAATGAGCGTGTGTGCGAGGGTTAGAAAGTGAGCACACAGAGGGGGAAGCCACAAGAGGGCTGGGAGCAAGGCAGTGCTTGAGAAAAGCAACTAAAATTAGTGTCCCGTCACCACCCCAACTACTGCACTGGGACCACTGAGATCTCTGGGAAAAATTGAAGAGACAGACATTTCCCAACCTCCTCTCTGGGCTGCTGCAGCTCTCCCAGGAGAAATGGAATCAGCAGTGGTGTTCCACTTCCACTGGAACACCATGCATCTGTGTATTCCATGAAAACCACGGACACACCTTGCTCCTCTCTGCCCGTCCTTGAACACACGGTCTGATGGGTGCCGTGAAACGTGTGCTCAGCTGTTTATTTCAGCGCTCACTCCGTGCCAGGAGTTCCAGGTGCGCTGAACTGTATGGTACAGACCATGAGTCACCGGGAAATCTGCTAAAGATACAGACCAGTGGAGGGGCACCTGGGTGGCTCAGCTGGTTAGGTGACTGCCTTTGGCTCAGGTCATGATCCCAGGGGTCTGGGATCAAGCCCCATGTTGGGCTCCTTGCTCAGCAGAGAACCTGCTTCTCCTTCTCCCTCTGCTTGCTACTCTGCCTGCTTCTGCTCTTTCTCTATCAAATAAATAAATAAAATTAAAACAAAACAAAACAAAAGAGCAACAAACTAACCTAAAGTTAGTTTGGCTCCCACCCTTCTCCAGAGTTTTTCATTTAGTCAATTTTCCCTGGTGGTAGCCGCCAAGAAACTCTTAGGATTTCCAACTTCCACCTGGGATGCAGAAAACTGGAAAGAGCATCACAAATGCAGAGGAAGAGCTGAGGTGACAGGGCCACCGGCCTGAAACCCTTACTCAGAGCAGCTCTCAGGGCAACTGAGAGGTTCCAGCTAAATCCTAACCGCTAAAGGCCAGGTGCCAGTGACACAGAGAAAGCCCTGTGAAATCCAAACACAGGCCATCTGCAACCCACTAGGTGGGCTCAAGAGTGTGGGTGTGCTATAGAGACGAGGGAAAACCCTTCTGCAGGGGTGAGGTCAGGGATGGAGCAGCTGCGGCTAGAAAGACCCAAACTCCACCTTCCACAGTAAGGAAGAGAAGCCACTAGGAAAAGGGACATATAGTTAAGGCTCATTGCGGATGGGGAGAGGAGAAGAAAATAGCCTCTGTCTGAGGAGAGTAGGACACCGTCCCAGCCCTGACTGTTAGAAATCCTGTATTACAGGAGGGAGGTGTACAGACTAACTCCTGTATTAAGACCTACCAAAGACACAAGCACAAGGAGAAGGCAAGGTCACTAGAAAGGGTGCCAGCCATGGGGACCCTGGGTAGCTCAGTTGTTAAGCATCTGCCTTCGGTTCAGATCATGATCCCACGGTCCTAGGATCGAGCCCTGAATCGGGCTTCCTGTTCAGCAGGAAGCCTGCTTCTCCCACTCCCCTGCTTGTGTCCCCTCTCTCGCTGTCTCTGTCAAATAACTAAATAACATCTTTAAAAAAAAAAAAAAGAAGGCACTAGCTCTGAAACCCAGTACGGGCCAAAGCAGTAGGGAGCTCCCTGTTTCAACTACTCGGGGAAGGGCAAGACTATCCAGAATAATGAAAGCTATCAAACCACAGATCCAGGACACTCTGAGAGCACCCGGAAGGATAAATACCCTCAAAGTTCCCAGGTTGACCTGAGGTGTAGTTTAAGTCTGGGACCCTCTCCAGTCCGGTAGACTCTGGTGGACCTGTCTGCCCAGCCCGGCCTCTCCACCTCGCTCCTGCCATCTACACAGGGTTGTAGGAATTGGCTCCCAGGAGCCTGATCCAAACACTGCAACCTTCCTCCTTCCTGCTAGTCTAGGCACCTGGATCCGGCACCGCAGAAACAAGGAAGGGAAAGCAGGAAGGTGCACTGCCTCTTGAGTGCACTGGCAGCCCTGTTTCTGGCGTGTGGACTAGACGACCAGAGGAAGCGGTCTCACAGGGAAGAGAGAATGGAGCAATCTGGCATGGGTGAGAGACAGCCACAAAGGCTTCAAGTTCTGCATTCCAGTGGTTTTATGAGAGAACAATACATGCTATTTTCATTTGGCTAAAGCCTTTCCTTTTCCCTTCCTTTGATTAAGGTGTCGCAGTTGCTGGACTTGCAGCTAACAGGACTCAAGCTCTTCTCATAGTCACTGTAAAAGGAAGATACTTGCCTTTCTCCATCTGTAAAAATGAAATCTGTGGTTCAAAGACTCTCCTAGCTGGGAGGACCCTCTTAGGACAAACAGACTGTGGGCACACCCAAGATCATCTCCGGAGTAAATTCTGGAAGATGGATTTACTTGAGGCTAATCTGTGCTCTTGGAATAACCCAACAAAGAACTGGGGATTCTGAAACACCTCTGAGTGCATGCCAGAGGCAGTTTCAGTAACGGTCAGGTTAGTGTAAGTGAACGGCCAGTTCCCTGTGACATGGCCAAAGGGAGACACTGGCTTTTCTGGCTCCTACCAGAACCTTCACCCAAGTTTTTGTGTTTACCAAAACTTGACTTCTGGTATTAAGACCCACCAGAATGCTAAACCTATGTACAGGAAAACACTTAATTTCTTTAAAATCTGAGGACTTACCATGAACTAGGAATCTACTGTTTTATACCTATTAACATTTAGTGCTGTGAGGCAGTAGTCCCCGTGTCACAGATGGGGAGACGCCCACTGACATGCGGTCCCTGTGTTACAGATGGGGAGACCTGGGCTCCGGAGGATTAAACAAGCTGTTCAAGGCATACGGTCAGAAGAGAAAAACCAGGTGTGGAAGACCAGGCTGGAAAACCCAAGTCTGTCACTTAACCATTACACATACCACTTTCACTATACAAACTCTGAAAGTTTGTCACTTTAGAAATTCTTAGTTGTTGTTTTTTTAAACAAGTAGCACATTATCAAAAATAACTAAAACAAACGAACAAGAATAAAAATGTGCAAAGGTTTCAAAAGAGTCTCTGGCAGTATTCTCCTAAATCATCTGGATAGCCAAAACCCCCAAATCTTTGTAGCTGTATTTTTCCTTAGGGTGAGGAAGAATTACTTGGCAACCAGAAGCGAGTTCTGTTCTCATATTTTCCAGTCAAAAATAACTGGGGAAAAAAAAATTCCCTTCTCTCCAAAGTGTATGTTTGGCAACTTTTCTCACCATATAAGGAAATGAATGATCCTGAACTTTTCACAGCCTCATCCATTTCTGACACTAACTTTGTTTGGAAGTTACATTACAATTTTTTAAAAAGGATTTTATTTATTTGACAGAGACTTGAGAGAGGGAAAGCAAGTCGGGGGAGGGCACAGGGAAGAGGGAGAAGCAGGCTTTCCACTGAGCAGGGAGCATGATGCGGGGGCTCGATCCCAGGACCCTGGAACCATGACCTGAGCTGAAGGGAGATGCCTAACGACTGAGTCACCCAGGCGCCCATTATTTTTAAAGTAAATATACCTATGGAAGATCCAACGTAAGGAAGAGCACTACTAAGTACTGAGGGAGATTTAAAGATTTGGATTTCATTATTTTCTGAACTGAAAAAAGGTCTTTAGTAGTTAAAAATTCCTGTAAATCAAAAATACTTAGCTATCTACTAAACAGTAGTTTTTTATACTCATTAATGAAGGAAGTTTCTTAACCATATAATGGCTTTTAAACAGCTGGTATGTGGAAAAAGAAACATGAATTTTATATCGTTTATGGAACTCTTCATTTCTCAAAATTTTAATAAATTAAATTTTAACACAGAGATTCCTTAATTCCTTTAATTTTAGTGTTTTATGTAGTCAAAACACATTCAAAATAAGCCTGTTATTTAAGAAATAAGAAGCAAATCAGAGTGGTACTTTTGGTGGTAAGGAAATGGAGACACTTAAATTCTTGCGTTTTTACACAGAAAAAATGCCATTTGTACTTTGGTCTAAAATAAACACGTATTTTTAAAAAACCCAACAATAATAGTTTGCATTAAGTTCTTTACGAAACTATAAAAATTAATATTCCTGTTTAAACGATACATACTGTTAATGACAACTCCAAAAAGGACTCACAGAAGTTATAAAAATGGTGAATCACGGAAAGGTAACCAAGAAACCGGTCAATTCCTCCATCGGACACTCACTGAACTGCACGGAGACGGGCATGGCTGTGGCTTTCAACAAGCTCACGAGCAGTGCGCCACAGCGCACAGGACAGGAGGGCAGCAGGGGAACAAGGGCAAGAGCGGACTGCCTGTGTCTTTGGAAGGGATTACACAAAGGGACAGAAACAGTGTTCTGGGAGTAGGGAACAACAAAGGGAGGAGAGGCGAGACGACGGGGGCCAGTACCGTCCTTGGATTATGCTTCCTCCCTGTGGCTGGAAATGGGGACGCTCACCAGGGGCAGTGCCAGGAAACGAGGCTGGAGAGAGACCCCACCTAGACCATGAGGGCTGTCTGCCAGGGAGAGATGCTCCCGAGTGGGTCAGTTCGCACCTTGGGAAGCGGACCCTAGTGGTCAAGTGCATGGAGGACAGAGCCAAGGCAGGAAGCCAGTCAGAGGCTGCAGGAGTCCACATGAGGAGGATCCCTGTGGGGAAGGCGCCACCTAGGTGAGGGGGAGGAGCTTCAGGAAGAGTCAAAGGGAGGAGAGGGGCTGAGAGGAGGGGTCACTTAGGCAGGAACGACATTTTTGCTGTCTTATTTTGAGCTCATAATGACTAGTAAGTACTGGCTACTTGTAATAAAATGTGGGATATACATGTATCTCTTCCACATATGTGCGTGTGGGGTATACACGCCAACAACGTGAAGTGATGATTACTACGGTTTATACAATGTCAGTAGGTGTGTCTGGGTGGGGCAGTCAGTCATGAGTTCAAGCCCCACACTGGGCTCCACATTTGGTGTAGTGTACTTGAAGAAAAAACAAACAAACAAACAAACAAAACAAACAAAAAACCCCCGAAAAAAACCATAGTTCAATCCAAACCAAACCAAACCAAAAACCTTAATGCCTTAAAAATCATCTACTGTGTAGTTCATTAAACATACCACAACAGAAAGGCTCTGCTTGTCAATGATGGCAACCTTTGTTGGCGGGGTTGCAAGATTTACGACAGCAACTTTGTCAGCTTGGGCTCCCAGACTGACTGGTTTTGTGACTTGAACAAATCAGAGATGAAGCTCTCCGTTGAAAGCATAAAGAAGTATAAAAACACTCAAAGGATTCATGTATCAGAAAAGGGAACTGTGAGAGGAGGACGCTTCTCTACATCTTTGTCAGTTAATGAGAACATGAAATTAATGTTGACTTACTGGTTTCCTGAGGAAGAAGATAGACAAGGCTCCCACTAGGGGCATGTCTCCAATCAACGGTTCCAGGATCACCCGCATTGTACCATGAATCTAAATTCAAATGGGAAACCAAAACATGTCACAGAAGACAATTCCACAGGCCATTTACTGATGCAAGAAGGAGGATACATGATCATCTTAGTGACTTCTCAGCATCTGACTTCATGTTTCTCTCAAGTATAACCTACAAATAGAAAACTTAACTTCAAAGAAATTCTGAGTTAATAAAAACTTGACTTTTTTTTTTGAATGGAGCATAGAGATTTTTAGAAGACTATGAAACTTTTAAAACCTTACCTGTATACTTTGCACACCAGCTCTACAAAAATACCGCTTGATCTCCAAGTCAATCTCACAGTTTCCTACAAAACTAGCAGAGAAAGTTCTGTATTACTGTCTCTTAATCATCACAGACCTGCAAGGCATATAATCTGAGTAAAATGACAGCAAAACAACCAAAACCAGCCTGCACTGTAACGTGAGGCCCATGTCTGAGTGTTTACTGCCCAGACCACAGATGTCCCTGCTAGCAGAGTTGACGTGGCCACACCAATTACACAGGTCACTTCCCAACCTGCGACTTCTGGATCTGTCTCCTGCTGGAGTACAGTTTTCATCTGTTTCTCAAACAACTGTGTTTGTTTAAAACATTAAAAAAAAAAGCTTAGATTATGTCTCGCCAGAAGTTAATTTCGCACCCATGCTCCCTGGTCATGAGACAACTAACAGCAGTGCTCCAGGGCTCTGTGACATCAAAGGTTAGAAGTGACGTGTCTTTTCGGGGAACCAATTTTACTCTGTGATTAAGTCATTTCAATCACTAGTACGAAACCAACAAATGAAACAAGAATCAGTACGACGCTGAATGTCAGGCTTGCGTCTACTCTTAATGTGAGCTCAAAACATCATCTATGTTCTGAGAGGGATCTCTGTGACCCGACTCCCACCCTCGGAAGCAGCACGTCATGCTCCAGCCCGGGCACATCTGGGGCCAGTGTGACGGAGGCTGGAAAGCACACAAGTACAACACTAATGAAAGGCATCTGGGAAGAATTCTTCCAAAATTTATGTCCTGGCGTTCGAGCCAGCACCTGTAGGTTCTTCTCACTGTGCACAATGCTGGATCCAGCTGGCAAAATCACCTATTAAAAAACCATCTCAAAACTTTCCTCTTCTTCACCCTAAGACCTGATCATTGTATTTCCTAATATCTGCCTTCCCCGTCTCTACCACCAATAACCTAAAGTCGCAGTCTAGAACACACAGAAAGGAGAATGCAGATTTTCTTTAGAGACATAAATATCCGAGCAGCAGGATCTGCATGTTGTTCTGACTGCTAAAACCATGAAAGCCAGACTGAGCCTTCACTGTGGCATCCATTAACTGATTCACTCACAGGTTTATTTAATAAATGTGTATGAAATCCTCCCTCAGTGCCAGAATAAGAGAATACAGTTTCTATCCTCAGGAAGCTCGTTATCAGACTAGTGGACAGTCCCAGGGTACAGCTGAGCTGAAGACACAGTCGGGGTGGGCTTCCTTTTATCCCACTGAGGACAACAGTGCTCACAGTCGTGCCTGGTATTTTAGAGATGCAGGTTTTCCCATCGGATCCTCGGAGGGAGTCAATGCTTCTTTTGAAAGTAAAGGTAGTCAGTGCCATCCCTGTACAAGGACTACGTTCATACCCTTCAGAAACTCAAAGACAACACTATAAGACACAATGATCCTTCGTCAAGGTAAGAAACAAAACTATGGACTGGGTCTGTCAGTGGACGCACGTTAGCGGCTGCCCTTCCACAGCTGTGTTACGAGGCCTCACAGGGATGCAGGAAGCCATGAGCAGGCTCACAAAGAATGAGGACAAGAATGAAACGAAACCACCTTTATCTGCCAGGTGTGGTACCGGGCAGATTGTCAGTTCATCTTTTTCCAATTATTTTTTCTTGTGGTAAAATATAAAGAACGTAAAGTGGACCATCTGGCTTATCTCTAAGTGTGTAGTTCAGTAGCATCAAGCACATTCACCTTGTGTGACCAGCGCCACCATCATCTTCAGGACTCGTCCATCTTACAAAACCGAAACTCTGTCCCCAGGGAACCACTTACCATTTCCCCTCCCCCAGGCCCTGGAGCCCAGCATTCCAATTTCTTTCTCCAGCGTCTGAGCACTCGAAGGACCTTGTGTAAGTGGGGTCAGACAGTGTTTGTCGCGTTGCGAGAGGCTCACCTCCCTCAGCATAACATCCTTATGGTTTATCCACATTGTGGCATGGGTCAGAATTTCCTTTTTGTTTTTTTTAAAGGTGACTAGAATTCTTGCATGTCCAGACCACATTTTCCTTACCCGTTCTTTGCTGATGAACATCCGGGCTGCTTCCACATTTCAGCTACCGTGAACTGCTACGAATGTAGGTATACAGGCAACTCTTTGAAACCTTATTTTCAGTTCTTTCGGTTATGGACCCAGAAGTGGAATTGCTGGGTCTTTATTAGTTGTTTAACTTTTTGAGGAACAACAGCAGCCGAACCGTTGTATACTCTCATCAACAGCGCACAAGGGGTCCAGTTTCTCCACATCCATGCCAACACCTGCTGCCTTCTACTGTCTGCCAGCAGCCATCCTACTGGGGCCAGGTGGTCGCTCACTGTTGTGACCTGCGTCTCCCTGATTATCAATAGGGAGCATCCTCTCATGTGTTTGCTGTACATTTGCACAGCTTCTTTGGAAAAATGTCTATTCAGGACCTTTTGTCGATTTCTGAACCGGGCTGTATGTTCTTGCTGAGTTTTAGGGGTTTCTTACACTTTCAGATATTAAGTGCTCGCTGGACATGTGATTACACAGACTGTGCTGCTTCCACGGATTGCTTTGAGTGCTGACATGCAATAATATTAAGTCTTCCAAATGAAGAACACGGGATGCCTTCCATCTCCTGTATTTCTCTCAGCATTTTTTTTTTTTAAAGATTTTATTTATTTATTTGTCAGAGAGAGAGGAGCTAGAGCAAGCACAGGCAGACAGAGTGGCAGGCAGAGGCAGAGGGAGAAGCAGGCTCCCTGCCAAGCAAGGAGCCCAATGTGGGACTCGATCCCAGGACGCTGGGATCATGACCTGAGCTGAAGGCAGCTGCTTAACCAACTGAGCCACCCAGGCATCCCTCAGCAGTGTTTTATAGTTTCTTTGTACACGTCTTTCACCTTCTTGGCTAATTCCTAAGAGTTTTATTCTTTCTGATTCTATTGTAAATGAGATTTTCTTGATTTCATTTTTGGAATGTGCACAGTTAGTGCACAGAACATAACTGATCTTGTATGTGCTGACTTTATATTCTGCTGCTTTGCCGAACTTATTAGTTCTACGAGGTTTTTCTGTGGAATCCTTAAGGTTTTGTACATATAAGATCATACCACATATGAATAGAGACAATTCTACTTCCTCCTTTCAACCTGGATGCCTTGTCTTTTTATCCCTACCGAGCGGCTCGGGCTAGGACTTCCAATGCCATGTTAAATGGAAGTGGTCAACGTGGACATGCCTGCTCCTAATCTTGGAAGAAAAGTTTAGTCTCGCACCACTGAGTATGATGTCTACTGGGGGTTTCTCACATATACCTTTTTACTTTTTTAATTTATTTAAGTAATCACTACACCCAGATTGGGGCTTCAACTCATGACCCGGAGATCAAGAGTCGCACACTCTTCTGACTGAGCCTGCCAGGCGCCCTCACATATGCCTTTTATTATGCTGAAGTAGTTTTCTTCTGTTCCCAGTTTGCTGACGGTTTTTATCATGGAAAAATAATTAATTCTGTCAAATGCATTTTCTACATCAACTGAAATGATCATGTGTTTTTTTTCCCCCTTCTGTTCTGTTAACATGGTGAGGATTCATTTGTATATGTTGAAGGATCCTTGCATTCTAGGAGTAAATCGCACTTAGTCATGGTGTATAGTTCTTTTAATATGTTGCTGAATTCAGTTTGCGACTATTTTGATAAGGATTTTGGCATCAGTGTTCATAATGGGTGTGGGTCTGCAGTTTTCTTGCAGGGTCTTTGATATTTTTAATTTAACATGCTTATGACTGGCAATTATCTAGGCTATCAGGAATTAAGACACAGAAAATCAATAAATTTGGGTCTTCAACAATTTAGTCAAATTCTACCACACATCAGGTAAGAAGTATCCTCCTTATATCTTCCACTTTATGGGTACAGCTGAATGACGTTATAGGCCATTAACTATGACATAAATTAAACACACACACACACACAAACTTACCTAATCTGAAGGTCTAAAATTATTTGCCTTTTGTCCACATTTTCAGTGTATACCTTAACACCATTGATCCTGAGGGGCTGAAACAAGAGGCAGCTTATTTTAAAATTCTTATTTAAAAAATAAAACCCACCCTTCCAATGCAGCACAGAGACGAGAACAGGCCTAGCACCAGGCCACAGGAACTGAACTTCTGCTTCAGTGCAGTCGCTGTTTCGCTTTGGGCGCGTCCGTAGGCCTCCACTCTCCAGTGTCCTATCTGGGAAGTGTGGATACTAAGTGGCATCCATCTAATGAGGTTACTATGAAATCAAAGGACAGGAGGAGCGTGTCTGATGCGCAGTGAGTGCTTAAAGGCCCAACCCCGTGGCCCTGTTTCTTCCAATTTACTTCGATCCTTTCCCTCTAACTTGTTGTTACATGGTTTGAAACACAACTTCCTTTCTTTTTTTTCTTTATGACTTGTGATTTTTCATTTCTTAAAATTTTCACAAAAATGGGGCTTTTCAGTGACTAAAAATTACTAGCTGTAGGTATAATTCTAATCTAATCTTAACTTAACCTGATACATGATAGAGACATGATTGTAAAAGGAAAAGGCAGATTATAATAACTGTCATGTTTCAAGGACCCAGCTGTAACACCATTTCAAAACTTCCCATTTTATCACTTTGAGACTGCTTCTAGGAAAGTTCTCAACCTCACCTTTGAGCATCAAATACTCAGTGGAAGGGACTCCTGACCTTTGGAGAACTATAGCTCACTGTGAGTTTACGTGCCCCAACATCTTACCCCTCAACTGGCTGTAGGATTAAACTCTAAGTCTTTGTGGTGGCGGGGGGCGTGCCTGGGTGGATCAGTTGGTTAAGTATCTGCCTTTAGGTCAGGTCATGATCCTGGGGTCTTGGAACCCAGCCCTACCTCGGGCTCCTTGCTCAGCAGGGAGCCTGCTTCTCCCTCTGCCTACTGCTCCCCCTGCTTGTGCTCTCTCTTACAAATAAATAAAATCTTAAAAGCAAAACAAAACTCTAAGTCTTTGAGCATCTCCATCTTCCACTATCTACGATCTTCCACTATCTACTACCTACTATCCTAGCTTCCTGGCGTTTTCTCTGATGATACTGGCTTAGACATGCACAGACTATGAATCACAGAGAATACCGTTCAAATCACTGTGTTGATGAGTGAGAATGGGATAGAGGTAGCTTAGGACCTTTAGTTTAAATGTTTGCATTAGACAATATTCCCTTCCTCCACTGAACATGACATCTGACGTTAGGAGAAGCAGCAAGGCCAAGCCCACTCCAGGTGACTGGGCTTTCGCCAACACAGGACAAACACTTAAAGGCAAGAGAACTCAGCTGACTGAGAGACGCAGCCAGCACATCGGGTGCGTACAAAGAACTGTGCTTGGGGCTCTGCACCTTCCTCTAGCCTGTTCCTTCCTCAGATGGCCTGAGATCACCTGTGCTTGTGAGACGGTGGTGCAGTGCGTGACGTCAAGCCACTTCTACCAAGTCAGCGCGGCTCTAAATATTGTTCCTGTTCTCCAAGGACGATCTTAGTATCAAACGTGAAGAGCATTAATACCAAGTGAACATAATTCCCGCTGAAATAAACCCAGCTGCGGTTACAATTCTAATCTCCGCAAACACAAGCATATCATCTTACATTAAGGGACCGCAAACCTTGGCCTGCAGGTTCAACTTGGCCTTTGGCTAAGAAAGGTTTTACCATTTTTAAACGATTATAAAAGAAATGGGGGTGGGACAGAGAAGAATAAGCCTCAAAGACTTTATGGGCTGTCAAGGACTGAAATATGTAGCAATGCCTTTTTACAGAAAAAGTGTCCGACCTCTGCTTCATGATCACACAGCGTTCTACCTTGTACTGTGTTTTCCTATTTGTTGCTATCATTTTAGGTCAGAGAAGGTCAAGTACACCTGAAAGGAAAGTGGACAAAGGCGTCCCGTGCAGGCCCTTATGTGCTTGAACAACAGGATGATCAGACCCCAGGCTTCTAACATATCTGGAAACCTCATAGCCAAGAGGAAAAATGACTAAGTACAACACATGTGTGCGCAGTGGAGACCCTGGGCTTTGCGTAACTGTAGATAAGATGGAGCATTCTGGGAGTACAGGATGGGAATGAGCCTGCGGGTGCAGACCCAACAGCGACCAAGTCAGACACCCCTTGGCCACATTATGGAAACCTGCTGGTCTGAAGCAAGGACATGTGAACTGCAGCAGCCAGGGAAGGTGTGTTGCGTTGTCCTACTGTGCGTGTGCACAAAATGTGTGTCAGCTGTGTAGGTGTATTTAAATTACTACTGAATTCTGAATTTTCATAAGGCAGACAAAACAGTGCTACCCTGGAAAGTAACACAGTGTTATATGCCAGTTATAACTCAATTAAAAACAATGTTACCCCGAACTGTTGCTAATCACTGTAAACAGGGACTTAGAAAAAGAAGCCATGATCGACTAATTTTATGCTGTCTTGAGGCTTTCACTACAAGGAATATTAGGAATTAGATGTATTTATTTGTGTATGATTCTAATAACAAAATCTATCTTTCCCTTCATTTACATAATTAATATAATTCTGTAAGCCTGGCACTGGAGTCCTGAATTATTATATTCACACATCTTGAGGGGTAAACACCTTTAAGTTTGTTGTCAGTCACTAAACTTTCAGTATGAATTCACATATCAAACCCCAACTAGACAGACTGGGAAAAACCGTACAAAGGAAAATCTCGACAGAAGGACGCAGGCGTAGAAAGACAGGCTGGGAACTGAAAGAAACCGACCAAGGAAACCGAACGGCCGAAGACCACAGGCGAGAATGAGTGTAACACACCAGGGGACAGACAAGGGGAGGGTGATCCCAGGAGGCAGAACTGGGACCAGCTGCAGACACAGCCTGCTAGACCTCACCCAGCAGCCATTTTTTCTCTAGAAAGTAACTTGAAGTCGTTTCATATATTTTTTTTAAAGTTTTCACACCAATTTTACCATGTGCACAAATGAAACATAAGAAGAAACTGACCTGCTGACCCACGTCAACTTTAGTGAAACTGAAAGTGCTGAGGTGGGCGTGTGCCCCCCGCACGGCCGGCTCCACAGTTTCTCGAAACAATTTCTCTATAAACTGGCAAACGAAAGGCCACATATGTTTTACAGTCTGTAGAGAAGAAAGAACTCATGTCAAACAAAATGCTCTAATACACAGTAACGTATTACGCACCAACACGGGATACTGTACTTACGTCACCATGAAAAATGACACCTTGTAGTTACCAGAATTTTTGAAAATTAAAAGGGGTATGCGTCTCATTTGTTATGCAAAATGAACACGATCTGAATTTCAAAAATGTGCTACAACAATAAACTACAGGTTAACTGACATGTTGCAGAAATTATTCTGGTTAAGCATTCCATTTAAGCCTGTCAGCACATTTAAAGTTGCTTAGGGAAAAAAATCAGAAAACTCCGTGGTTTCGGTTTGTTTCTAAAAACCTAAAACTGTCTAGATCTTAATAAACATTAATGAGCCTTCTTTAATGATGGACTAATTCTGGTGCTGTAAGGCAATCATGAATCTGTAAGGATATATAAAATATGGGGGGAAACATCTACTTCAAAGTATATGATCTTAAAAGAATAAATAACTTTAAAAAGGATTATTCATCTGTTACTAGGTTTCTTGGGAATTATCTCCCTTTTCATAATATTTTCAAAAATTCTGCTTATAATTATAAAATAGACTTGAGCACTAGCCAATGAGTGAAGTAGACACAGGGCCAAATACACAACTACGAAAATACCAATTTTTTCATGTTAAAGACACAGTTTTCACCTTCTAAAAAGTAACGTATCAGTTATGACTCTCTTTTTTTGATAGCAGGAGCCAGTCCACTAAGTCCAAATGAGTTCACATACTGTCAACATGCAAATTCCCAAAAATGGAAAGATGGCATCTCATTCTCTCACTCCCACTGATAATGTGGTATTTAGTATATTCTACTCTTACCTTATTTAGCCATTCTGCTCTTTCAGTGTCTGGAAAATGAACCTAAGAGAAAAACATACACATGACTGACGGACCCCCAGCAACTGTACACAAAATGTCACACAGGCTGTTTAATACGCGTACCGTACGCATACTGTTTCCCTAAACGCTTCCTGACAACGCTGGCTCTGAAGCTTTGCACAAGGGCTTCTGAGGAGACTGAAATGTGTGCCCTCTGGCTCTTTAGGCCCCAACAACACTTTGAGGCAGGAAAGCCTAGTGACAACCAACAAGACAGTCCCTTCTCTGTATCTCTCAGGACCGGAGGGAAGCTCGCTGGCATCGGGGATTTGGGGAAGAGTACTCCGCTGAAGGCTAAAGCTGTTTTGGGTGGGGAGTTCTCTGAGGAATGCTAGGTACTCCCTCAATGGCAGGCCACACTAATGTTCTGAAAAGCACATTCTTGGTTTAGATGTACAATGGGTCACAGGCAGTTCCCTAAGGGCGACTGAGATGTGGTCTGGGAACTGTTCTGATTTCTGCAACTGCCACCCTCACTTTCCTCAGTAACACAGGAACGAAAGCCAGTGAAAGACAAGCCCCTGGCCCCACGTTCCAGCTGAGAGGAGCTGGTCGGGGGATATCACGGTGGCGGGGGGCAGGGGAGCTCCCGAGAAGACGGTTCGCTAAGAACCAAGTCCACCTCTCCAGCTTGGCCCTGAGGAACACATGGGCAGCAGCAGCTGGTTCCCGGCCAGAGGCCCCTGTCCCGGCACCCTGTGTCAGCCCCACTGCTCCAGGAGAGGGGCCACAGCAGGTCCCTCCTGCTGCTCTGTGACCTGGCTGGCCCACTCCTTCACATCACAGGTGCAATATGCCTGAACCCTGAGCGTGGGCTGGAGGGAACCGGAATGTTTTCTAAGTCAGCCAGCTCAGATGCATTCTTGGACAAAAGCAAAGGGACGGCAACCTTCCAGAATTAAGGAAAAGGCGTAAGAGCTGGGAAGGATAATACTCAAGAAGGCAAAGACTGTGGACGAGAACGGCTAACAGACACTGCTTAGGTTCAGAGGGCTTGTTGCTGTGGAGAGGCCTGTTGGGCCCGACTGGAACTGGACTTCCAGCCAAGAACTCGAGACATCCGGGGGCCCGTGGGACTGGCCGGACGGGGACGCGGAATGAAGCACGCGCAGTGGCCCTGCGGGCTGGGTCCTGCTGTTCCTTCCCATGCAGTGAAGCAGCCAGTACCCCATGTCCCGTCAGGAATGCGGCGGGGGCCGCCCCAGGGTACCAGGTCTTCGAAAGCAGGTGCTCGGCTGTGCTCCCAGGAGCAACTGATCGTGAGGCCGTCTCCCCACCGCCCGTGCCCCTCTGTATCCGACCGGCCCCAGTGGCCAAGGAAGGACCAAAAGCACAAGCCGAGCACCTATTCGGAGACAAGTCAGAACTTCACCGTAGGTGTGTTTCTGCTGTCACTTCAGAGTCAACAACGGGGTCGGTGACTCTCGCAGGCTTGCCTTTTCTGGTGATGCCATGACTGCGGACACTCCCTTACCTGGGAGGCCTTGCCCGGCTTCCCAGCCACATGGCATCTAGCTCTAGAACGCGAGGACACAGGAGCCACACTTCGTTACCTCACTCAGGGCCACAGACTCCTATGCGGGTCTCAAACGGGAGATCAAAGACCTGCTCAAATCACATTTTCTCTGACTCACCTCCCCCCAAATCTTGTCTTTACCACGGTCCTGTGGAATCCAACCAAACAATTATGGTTTCTTTGCATAGAAATGCAGTCTTGATTTACTGGTTACCTTTTTCTTAACCTCCCCTCTCTGCCAGCTCTCCCTTACAGTCAGCTCACCACAGACCACTACCCAAACCTCCCACCATGACAGTCTCTCCTCAGCCACACGGCTCTCACACTCAGGTTCTCTCCAGAAACCTGCCTCTGTCACACACCACTCTGCTGAGGCTCCCCAGCGGCTCCCGCTCGCCCAGTGCACTATCCACTTGTGCGACGGAATGAACTGTCCCTAGAGACATGCTCTCAAGACACGCGACTCAGAGTGGACAGAACGCTCAACGCACAGCCTCGTAACGGGACGCCCGAGTCTTCGTGCGCTCCGCTTTCTCAGAGACACCTGGGTTTGCGACTACTTAGACTATTGCTGCAATTGCCATGAATTCTTTGGGATCTACTCCAATGTAAGATGGCGTGTGAAGTGTGAAAACTTAATACAGTATTGGACTTAGATGAAAATTCTGTATCATTCCACACCGAATAAAAATAGCAACTATTCACATCAAGATAATCCTTAGGATCACGTGGGGTTCCAGGCAACAGCGAGAACGCACGATGCCAGGATGTCAGCGAGAGGGGCCCCCACCGGTGGCCCATGGCTTCAGTTCTAGCAATCTTGAACCGCTGGTCTGCTTCAAAAAGAAATATTCTCAATGTCAAGTGTCCTTTAATAAAATTATAGCAAGATGAGTTTAACCTGTTTTCAGTTCTTGGCTCCTAAATATTATGAAGTGACAGTATATGTTCATTTAAACCTTCTCCCCAGTAAACAACTGCAGTGCCATCTGAGGAAACAAGGACTTTACCGGCTGTGATACCACAAATCCTCACACGAGGCACACGGGCATCAGAATGCCCGCCCTCCTGAGAACACGGTAGGGTATGGGGGGTCTGGCAGGCACCAGCACCTCTACAGACGGCTATCTCACGTTCCCCAGGGACCGACAGAAGACAGGACAGACAGGTCTTGCCAAACACACCTGGGCCAGATGAGCTGCATATTTCGCCAGGGAGCAGGGGGTAAGCGGTCTGTTCCCTTTCACTAACTGGTAGATAGTCACTGATTAACCCCACATACTTCAGAGAAAGTGCTTCTCTGTAGTTTAGGTGCAAAAGGTTTTCCTTCTACTACTGAGGGGTAAAATGTGTCGAGAGCAGTTTTCACTTTTTTTTCCCTCCTAGTTCCTTTGAAGAACTGAATTTTTGCTAAATTTTAAAAGCCATAACCAGGCATCCTAAGTATGACGCCTCACAGAGAAAAAGCTTTGACTAATCTAGATTTTCTACCCACTTCAAATTTAAGGCCTTCTCAAAGATTAGGTTACTCTCTGGGAGTCCATACACACAAAGTTGTATGTATACAAATTCAGAGACAAATCATCAGATTTTCACAAAGTCCACAAAACCAAGAAGGTTAAGGTCACATAATGAGGTGATCGATAAGGCTGAGTTCCTTTCAAAGCCTTTCATACAAAAGATTCAGAGGAGCAGAAGGTGAGGGAAGGCAGATGCTGAAGACCCCATCCTTGGATGGCTGAGGAACAGGTAACAAAATCTCCCTGCAGCTGGGTTCCTGAAAGACGAGTGAGTCTCCAAACCCATGTGTACCTCTGTCGACATAAAAAAGTAACTGGTAACTGCCAGGTGGGATTATGCACTGCTTTCTGTGTGGCGGGTTCTGTGGTAAGCTATCAACAGACATTATCTGAGCTCATTTTTTTCTTTGTGTGGATAAAAGACCTTGACTTTTAATAAGGGAGACAACAGTGTGCACACCCCCGAACAGCGACCCACGCCCTCTGTACCCAGGCGTTTGGTGCAGAGGTACACGTATGTCAACACAGCTTTGTAAATCATATTCCCTCCTCCTCATCTTCGTCTTCAAAGCAGAAAGGAATTATCTGTGAGGCCATGAAACTTTCCATCTCCCAAGTCACAAATATGGACCCTGCGTTCATTTTCTCTCCCGCACCGCACCTGAATTATTTCAAACTATCCACTCAGTTGAGCAAACCCGAAATTTCAGAGTCACCAGGATCACTGCCTCTCCTTCACTCCCCAACCCTGGTCAGCTCTTCCTTCTTAAACCTCTATCTGAGCTAATTCTCAACAACAAATCTACAAACAGGAACCATTAATGTCCCGAATTTACAGAATAGCTACTAAGTGACAGAGTGGGGAGGAAAAATCAGGTTTGTCTGCTCCTGCTGTTGGCCACTCTGCTACTGAGGGACCAAAAAAGTGCTGTGGAGACAGTCAATCCACAGAACCCGTCAAGTTCTCAGTAGGACAGACTCCCATGAGAGAGTAAAGCTTATAACTCAGGTTATACGCCTCCGATTATATGAAGCGTTAAGTCAGAAGTGGAAAATTTTGCATTTAATAGTGATCTATTTATCTAGACTCTAAGGTCAAATAAAGTACAAGTCCTGAAACAGCTCATAGCAAAGTTCGGCAAGCACAATAGCAATTCACAATAAAGCACAATTACCAAACCCAGCATTTCACCCAAGACTAAGAAGAACGCAATTTGAAGACTGGTTTTACTTAACATATGCAGGAAAAGGGCTATATTTAAGGAGTGATGATAAAATTCCACATATATTCACCCTGTGACCCAGCAATCCCATTTCTAACTAACTGATTAAATATAATAAAGTGAATTCTGCAAAACATGTTCCAAAATGAAAACATGTACCTTCTCTAACTTTATCTGGTTTCTCCAAGTTCCCTGGTATTTTCCAAATTACGTCTGCCAGTATGCTAGCAAATTCCTACTCATCCTGTCATAAAGACAGAGTAAGCCAGTAAAGCTACTGTTTCTGTCCCACAAAACACACACTAGCCCCACAAATCGCCTACAGAATTTACATGTATGTAACCCTAAGGCTTCGCGCTCACCGTCACGCAGAACAGAAACACGGTTTGACTGGTGCGTGTTCTGGTTTTGTGAATGTATTTCTGTCACCGCGCTACTCCTTAATCTACCGCACGTGTGGAAATTGTTCTTGTGCAAGAACAGACTGAAGCAGCCATTCTGTGAGCGGCCACTTCTGCTCTGTCCGCAGACACAGACTCAGACACGCACCTGTCCTTGGGAAGCTCAGAGCTGGTGGAGGGGGCTGGTGCGAAAGGTGTGACACGGGTCTATGAAGGAAGACCTGGGGCCCTGGGGAGGATCTGATGCTGCCTGGAAGAGTCCGTAAGAAACTTGGGAAGAACACAGTGCGTGAGAGGGTCTGGAAAAATTAGTTGGGGTTTG